ACTGAATAACTACGCTGTGAGTGTTGTGTTGCCTGGAGCCGTTTGGGGCTTCGGGGGTCTGAAGACAAAGTTGTATCCCGACGAAGCGCCCTTGTTAATTGTACTCGGGTTTGTAGGTGGAACAGTGCGCAGGCGCACCTAGAACCAGGTGACCACACACATGCGCAATGTGTAATCCCGAAGCCAAAAGGGGTATGATTGAGAGCAAGTTTTTTTCTGTTACTAAAACTTCCCTTACTCGAATCCAGCAAGCCTGGCTGTCCCCATTTCTGGCGAGGGAATCTTAATATCTCTTAATATTAACCCATTTTTTCTTCTGGGCCACACTTTTAAGTCGGCTGCCAGTACTCAACATGGCGGAGGCCCCTAGGTGGCGCAGTCCGTCCTTAGGCGTGCTGCACGGAGGGGCGGGGGCCCTCCGAAAGGGCGGGAGTTTGAGGGGCGGGGCCTGCGCCCCAGCCCCTTGGTGGGCCCCCGCCCCCGGGGCCTTAGCAGCTGCTTCAGGCGCTGCGGCGCTGAGGAGCACCCGAGGAATCTGTGGGAGCCGAGCGTGGTGAGGTGGGGCCTCAAGGGCAGGCGGGAGGTGCCCGGGTTAACGGTCTGAGGCCCAGAGGCCGGCCCTCTTAGAGCGCCTTAGGGAATTCCGTTCGGGCAGCGGCCGAGGCCCAGAGAGGGGCTGGGACCTGTCCTAGGCGGGTGTGTCCGCGTGCTGCTGCCGCCAACACTCTGCGCTCCAAGTCCGCGTAAAAAGGGATCTTCCCGAGCCCGGGGTTGTCCGATAAGGCGCTGCGCTCTCCTAAGCGTCCCGCTCCTGGCTCCCAGAATTTTGCGGCTCCCTCTGCCTTTGGGGCTTTGCATGTGATCTGTCCGAAAGTCCAGTCCTACTCGCCACCCTACTCTGGAACGCTCATTCTTCGGGACCCACCTTAAATAGCACTTCCTCGGAAACCTTTTCCAACCGCTTTCTGAAGGCGCAGTTAGCTCGCTGCTGGGTTTTTGCACTCATTGCACCGAGTTACTTTTCCTGCATCTCTTTTACAGCCGTGCACTTGTTGGGGCGTTATGCCTTGACTTTTTTATCTGTATCCCAGGGTCTAGCACGTGATGATCATAATAATAGCTAATATTTATTGAACAGCCACAAAGGTGCTACGAAATGCATTACCTGTAAAGGCCCATTTAATCCTCAGAGCGATTCCATAAGGTGGGTTCTATATCTTAACATTTTATGCGCGAAGAAGCTAAGGCACTCTTAGATCAATTTGCGTAGAGTCCCACAACTAATAAGTGAGTGGAGCCGGGATACGAATTCTAGGCTGTCCGTCCCCAGAGCATGTAATAATTCCTGGATTGCCTTTGGGTTTGGTAAATGTCTGTTGAATTGGTGTTTACATTAGGTCCATGAGTTATGGAGGCCAAGATTGTGATGCACATGAGAAGGCTTAGAAAGGAGAATTGATGTTCCCAAATGTACAGAGTGAGTTCATGAGGAGCTAGAACCTGGTGCTAGCCCTTGTTCCTTCAGTCACACTCTACCTTTCTTTGGTCCTTGTCCATCAGAGAGCCGAAGACTTAGACCTCATCATTTCACACCCTTTAGAAAGTGTCCCTCCCAGAGCTGTGATTTCATATTTCATGATTTAGGGGGCAGCATTTTGTAATGGAAGGGTGTAGAGTTTTGAAGCAGATTGGGGTTCAGTATTTGCTCTGCCGCTGACCAGTTATACCCCTTCCGTGTTTTGAGCCTTAGTTTTCTTGTCCATAAAATGAAGGCAATAATTACTTCTCAAAGTGTTTTTTATGAAGATTGCAAATAATTGTGAGAGAGTAAAGTGCTGTACAGACTACATGATCTGTTTCTTTTGGGGTTTTTTGTTTGTTTTTACCTTTTAGAAGATTATAGAACTGTCAGCATTTTGTAAGACCTTTGATATGGATCATGTTGCCTAATGTTCTTATATCCATTCATTTAGTCAAATATCTAATGAGTACCTGCTATATACCAGGCACTGTTAGGAGCTGAGAATACAGCAGTCAACAAAACAATATTCTTGCACTTGGGAAATGTACATTGGGTTAGATATAGTACACATAATACTCAGATAGGGACAGATGAAGCATGGTAAGGTAAGTAGAAAAATACCAGGGACTTCTCTGGCAGCCCTGTAGTTAAGACTCCCTGCTTCCACTGCAGGGGGCATGGGTTCAATGCCTGGTTGGGGAACTAAGAGATCCTGCGTGCCGCATGGTGCGGCCAAAAAAAAAAAGAAAGAAAAGAAAAGAAAAATACCAGTTTGTGTGGAGGGGTGGTGGTATTTTATATTGGGTGGTTAAGGAACAACTTACTGAGAATGGGACATTTGAACAGAGAAGGTGGCAAGGGAGCCAATCATGAGGGTAACTGGAAGAAGAGGCCCTGGATGAGTGTGTGGCTTGGTGTGTTCCGAGCATGTACAGCAAGGAGGGCTGTGTCTGGAGGGATGTGAGCAAAGGGGAGAAGAGTAAGAAATGGAATCAAAACAATTGGAGGCTGGGATCAAATAATTAGGACCAGGTAAGCCAATACAGTGATTGTGGTTTCTACTCTTGATTAGCCACTGGAGGGTTCTGAGTGACCGAATCTGTCACTGTTTTAATATTTATTTATTGCTTTATTTACTTATTTATGCCGTACCATGTGGGATGTGGGATCTTAGTTCCCCAACCAGGGATGGAACCCATGCCCCCTACAGTGGAAGCTCGGAGTCTTAACCAATGGACGACCCAGGAAGTCCCTGTCACTGTTTTAAAAGGATCACTCTGACTATTCTGCTGAGAAAAAGCAAATTTTGAAAGCAAGGGTAGAAGCATTGCTACCACCTAGGAAGCTTTTGCAGTTATCCAGGTGTGTTAGTTATCTACTGCTATGCAAGAAATTACCCCAAAACTTAGCAGCTTGAAACAGCAGTCATTTATTATCTCATATAGTTGTGGGTCTGAAATCTGGGAGCAGCTCAGCTGGCTGTTTCTGGCTTAGGATCTCTCAGGAGATTGCAGTCAAACTGATGTCTGGTCTGCTCCCAAGATGTGGTTCCTTACCACTGGGCCTCTTCACAGGGCTGCCTGGGTGTCCTCAGGACACAGCAGAGAGAGTGGGGAGAGAGCAAGAGCTAGAGAAAGGGGAGCCCTTTTATGACCTTGTCTTGGAAGTCATTTCTACTTTATTCAGCTTCATTAACTTTATTCCAGATCATGCTCAAGGGGAGAGAGTTTAGGCTCCGCCTCTTGAAGGGAGGAGTATCAAAGAATTTGTGGGCATACCTTAAAGCCAAGAGTGGCTTTGCTCAGGATGATGGTGGGGGTGGGTCAGAAGCGATAGGAACTGGTAGAGCCAACAGGATTTGCTGATGGATTGGTTATAGGCTGTGGGAGAATGGAGTCAGTATAACTGTAAGGCCTTTGGGCTTGAGCAACCAGAAGGATGGAATTAGCACGTACTGAAATGGGGAAGATTGGAGGAACAGGAGTTCACTTTTGGATGAGTTAACTTTGAGATGCCTGTTAGACATCTATATGGAGAAGTTAAATAAATGTTTGGATTTAGTATAGGAGTGTGATGTGCCAGATGGGCTGGAGATGTAACACTGGGAGTCATGGGTGTATAGGTACAGTTCTAAGCCATGAAACTGGATGAGATTATCTAGAAAATGAATGTAGGTGGAGAAGAGGTCTGAAGCCTGAGCCCTGGGGCCTCCAACCTTGAGATGGTGGGGAGGAGCCAGCAGAGGAGACTAAAGGGAGAGAGGCCTTAGAGGTAGGAGGAGGATGGAGAGAGAGGCCCACATATGAGATTTATATAAGGAGCTGTGTGCTAATTTCTTTTTTTCTGGAATAAGAAACAAATTGTCTCTCCAGACAAATATATATATGTGTGTATATATATATATATATATATAGTTTCTTTTCTCAGGAAATAAAATGTCTGTGCCCTCACGTGTTTTTTCTTTTTTGCTTTAAGTGACAAATTCTGTTTAATAATACCAGTTCTCCTCTTAGTCCTTGCAACATTTACACCTCTACTTCAAGTTTAGGTGGTGTTGCTGCTATTTTAAATTTATTTAAATACTCCTTTTGGAAGAATTTGGATGAGATGAGACAAAATATATAATTTATGTCACTCTTGTCTCACTCTTCACCCTAGGTTCAGAGGTCACTGCCCTTCCCAGTCTGGTTCCTAGCAAAAGTAGGAAGTCAGTCTTCCTCATTTCTGTATCACTGTGGCCAGTTACCTGATGCTAAACTGGAATTCATGAGTGTTTACAGGGTAAATTAACGTATAAAAGAAGTGAATCTTTTTCCTTTTCCTGTGGTAATGATAACATCTATTCAGTGGTTTACAGTTTACAGAGCACACTGACATCCATTCTCATTGAATGCAATTCAGTCTGTTACCATTTGCCAGCTACTGACCTTTTCCTTCCTGAGGGCCATTGAAACCTACCTTTCTTTGGGAGCTATGCTAGTTTATTTATTCTCTGGCTGATCTGACAGTGTGTTAATGAAAGGTGCTGAACTGTGTCTTGAGGAAGCTCAGAACTGAATCTCAATTTCAGAAAAATTCCTGTTGTAATTTTTCTCTGTTCCCTCCATCTTTTTATTCCTGGTTTTTTGTTTGTTTTTTTTTGGCGGGGTGGGGGCGTTAATCATAAAACAATTCAATTCATTTTTTAAATAAACTTTATTTTTTAGAACAATTTTAGATTTACAGAACTTGCATAGTACAGCAAGTTCCTATATACCCTGCACCCCGTTTCCCCTGTTAGTAACATCTTAAATTAGTATGGTACATTTGCTACAATTTCGCATCATTTTTGAAGTAAATGGGGCATACCAATAAAATATGAACAAAATGAAGTTACTTCATCTCTGTAAGCCTCAGTTTCCTTATCTGTAAAATGAGAGGGTTGGACTAAATTTTTAAATAGCTCTAAAATTTTTAAATTATCTGCTAAAGTAAAATAATCATATAATTCTAATATAATTCCATTTTTTTACTGAGGTGTTACTATCATTTTCTAAAATAATGTATACACATTAACAACAACCTTATTCTAAAAGAGGATTTAGAGAATTCCCTGCCAGTCCAGTGGTTAGGACTCTTGAGCTTCCACTGCAGGGGGCGCAGATCAAACTAAGATGTTGCAAGCCACGAGGCATGGCCACAAATAAATAAATAAATAAATAAAAAGAATAAAAGAGGATTTAATAGGAGAATTCCAGGAACTATGAGAGGGCTGCTTATATATTAGGTTTGTATAATATATATAAATATATGATTATAAATATATATAATATTATTATATTAGGTTGAATTACATGAAATTATCATTTTGTTAGGTTAAAAAAAGGGCAGATATCGGCAATTTCATGGAGTTTAACCGAATGCTTTTGGGGATAGGGATTCAAAGGAGTGTTAGGGAGCCTTTGGGGCCTCTGACACTCTGCAAAAGCCTGGCCCATCCCTCACAGTGTTCGGGGAGAAAAGGCTCTTCAAGTCCCTTGAAGCATCTCAGAGCTACTCTTGTTGTTAGTCGTGTTGTCGGTAAGAGCTACTTCCCAGCAGGTTTGTGCCTCCAACCAGAAGAGAGAGATTGAGCCAGCATTTCACAGCTGTGGTGGAAAGGAAGGGCAGAAAGGGAGGACACTGGAAGTAATAACCCAGTTGATCAGCTAGGAAGAGGCATCCTGGAGTGTTGGTGCCACTATGCCTTTACTGGTACCACTGTACTCTTCCTACTTTATGCCCTTTCCTTACTGTCTAGTACAAGCTCAGCAAACCTGGGTATCTGCAGTTGCCCAGGAGGTGATTAGTAAGCTGAGTTTTCCTCTGTAACTCTGTTATAAGAAAAACAATAGCACAAGTGCAATGACATGACAACTAAAATCTGCTATCGGTGTGAGGGAGAGGGCAGGGGCCTGAGTCTAAGGTGAACTGGAGAGCATATGCCTTATCTAAAGGGGGCAGACACTGTTTCACTGCAGCCTGTTGTCGCCTTGTGGGAATGTGGGTCAGGGGTCACTAGATATGCTGATTATCCAAAGGAGCCAGAAATATGAATTTTTATATGTATTTTGCCAATGGTAAATGTTGGCACCTAACTTAAGTTCTTAAAAACCATCGTATAGGCCACACAACGATTGAAAAGAACCCGCAGGCTACATTTGTAACCTCTGGCCAAGGGTTTAGATCTGCCAGGAGTGAGGCCCACATGCATTTCTTCATTATGCATTGCTGACAAGCTACTAATGACCAAAATGAATTAGCTCCTGCCTTTGAGGAACTCACAAATTAGTGGAGAAGATAGACAAATAGTAATGATAAGATGTAACATAGACATTCTCTCTACACATTAAATATAAATTTATATATATTGTATATATGGCTATAAAACTGATAAATTATTCCTGGATACATCTGGGAGGACCTGATAGGAAGTGGCATTAGAGCCAGGATGTAGAAGATCAACAGTTTGGTGCATTAAAGGGACATGGGGCCCCTGAAACTCCCACTGTGTGTGCAAATGTTACATTGGCATTCGCTGCATATGCCATTTTCTTCAGATTATGAGACTGGTGCTGCCAAGAAGGCAGCTCGAATAGACCATTTTCTTGATAGGTAGCTGGAAATACAGATACTCCTCAAACCTGATGATGGGTGTCTCAGGGCTGATAAGGTGAGAGAACTCTACCCCCCTCCTCTGCCCCCAGGTTATGGTGCGTTTTAGAGGCCTAAGAAACTCAGAGGTCGTGGAGCTGGGCACCCTCATTTTTGCATGAGGAGCCTGAGGAAGTGGCGTGCTCGAGGTCCTAGAGCTCCTTAGAGACAGAACTTGGACTAGCACCCCAAACCCTTGATCATCTTGCCTTCCCGTCTCCTGGGTGTCTCTGAAGTCACTGGTTAGGCTGGCCTCCCTCACCTGCCCCCATTGCCCTGTGCTGGCCCATCTCCTGGTGGATGAGGAGGGTTTGCCATCCTGCTGAAGCTGGCTCCTTCTTCCCTCTGTTTTTTGGTTCCCCTGCCTGAAATGCCTGCTACTCTCTGTCAGAGAGTCAGATTGCTTGTATTACAAATCCCTAGTCAACCAAATGCCAACTGTATGAACTAGGACAAATTGTTTAACCCTTCTGATTTCTCAGCTAAGGCTTAGCCTTCGTAAGCCTCAGTTTCCTCATCCATGTGTAAAGTTAAAATAGTACCAATGCTGAAGTATGATAGGAAAGCATTGGAAGGTTTCAAGATTCTTGTGATGCCAAAACGACATGGTATGTGTAAAGCACTTCAAGTGACTGACCCATAGAAACACTTAACAAGTATTAATTATGATGATGATGATTCACACTGTTCGCAGCCCCACAGGTTGGGTTAAATGTCCTTCTTTTGTCTTCCCATACTATCCTGTGATGCCTCTGTTATTACTGCACAGACCACATTGTATTGTAGTTGTGTCCATCTCCCCTGCTAGCCTAAAATCACCTTCAGTGATTCATTCAGCAGATGTTTATTAGGCACTGTGCCAGGCACTAGGGACGCAATGGTAAACTAGGAGCTCTTGGTCGAGTGCAGAGTTACAAAAGTCATGCCAGGAAACACTAGTCCTGTGAACTTGTGTCATGGTCCAATAAATTTGGGAAATGATGCTCATCACGTTCCCCCCCCCTTTAGAGATTAGGTCCATCTTAGTATTTGAAAAGCTTTGAGGAGGACTGTACTTTGTCCAACCCAATTTTACAGAACTTAATGAGTATTTGCTGAATAAATTTGAGTCATCTAGGGAGTTCTTTCAACTCCACTGTGTGCTTTAGTCCCCAGCTCAAGAGGAGGTCCAAGGGACACAGCAATGATTAGAGAGCCTGCTGGGAGCGAACAGCCTCTGGCTGCATAGGGATCTGTGGACTTACTGTCTGGTGCCCCCATGGAGACAGGGGGCCCTGGGTTGAACAATATGAAGCCCCGGTCACTGCAGCTGGTGCTGGAGGAGCAAGTGCTGGCGCTACAGCAGCAGATGGCAGAGAACCAAGCAGCTTCCTGGCGGAAGCTGAAGAGTTCCCAGGAGGCTCAGCAAAGGCAAGCAACCCTCGTGAGGAAGCTGCAGGCCAAGGTGAGGCAGCTGCCCTTTCAGGAAGGGGAAGGAGGAGAACACTTGGGGCTGGGGACTGAAGCGGGATGAGGTTTGCAGAAGATGGAGCCACGTGGTGGGAATGTCCTAAACAGCTCTCCTTTGATGTCTACAACTTCTCCACCAGCCATCTACGATGTCCCTTTCAAAGGTGACCTTCATGAGGGGTCAGTTAGTTGTCTAGGTTTGCTCTCCTAGTCTAGAGCTAGGACCTGATCCTAGGTTTTCCGGTTCCAAAGCCCATGAACTTCCTTCTCCAATACAAGAGCTGTAGAGAACATATGATTAAATGACCAAATGGAAACTGTAAGATGTTATGGCCTCACTTCACTGTCATCACCCAGTCCCTCATTCACAGCGCATTTGCCCACGACCCTTGGGGACCTTTGCTTTGGGCTGTTGGTACCAGCCGTGCCCATTGCCGTGTCCTGCTCTGTTTGCCCCAGGTGTTGCAGTACCGGAGTTGGTGCCAAGAGCTGGAGAAGCGGCTGGAAGCCACTGGGGTGAGTGAGGCTCTTCTGTGCTCCTCCTGAGCCCTCAGGGAGTATAGTTAGGCCTCATTTGCCGACTGAGGGAGGCTGGGGTGTGATAAGGCGGTGTTTGGAAGAAGCCGTTCTTTCGTCAGCCCCTGAGAGCTTCATCAGATACCTTCACAGGACCTAGCTATTCCTGCCCCATCAGACTCCAACCCCAGGCTCTCTAAGGACAAAATGAGCTTTAGGAGACTTAATATTACCAGATTGGAAGGGGTGTGGAATCCGAGAGAAGAGATGCATTTTTCCTCCAGGAGGTGTCAGTGTTTATCTGTCTTGGAGAGATGTGTGCCTTTGCAGGCCTGAAAAAACCGTATTTGTGACAGAGAGATTTCTTTGTGCTGTGGGCTGGGTAGAACTGGCTTTCAAAAACCTATCTGCCTTTCTTCCAGCTCCCTCTCAGCATCTTCTCACATTACCCTCGGAAGAGTTCTCTCAGAGGAAGGAAAGGACGAGACTTAACTATGTACCGTTCTATGTAGGCCAGGCACCCTTAGGCATTGTCATAGAATTACGTCACTTAACCTGCAAAGCAACTTTTCAGGGGAATGATATCACCTTCATTTTGGAGCTGAAGACTTTGTGGCTTAGAGAAGTTATAACTTCCCAAGGTCCAAAACTTAGTGTAGTAGAAGCCAAGACCATTAGTGAAAGCTGTATTTTATGCTTCTTAGGTCAAAAGTTCTTTTCACTACCAAATGCCATCTTTCGTGAGAAATCACTGGTTTACGTTTGGAGAGAGGGATGCAGTGGGTTTACTTGAGGAATGCAGTGACTGAGAAAAGAGACATATTGCTAACAAAGGGGAGAAAGAATTAAAAAAAAAAGCTGGGGAATTCCCTGGCAGTCCAGTGGTTAGGACTCTGCGCTTTCACTGCTGGGGGGTGGTGGTGGGGTTATCCCTGGTTGGGGGCACTAAGATCCCACAAGCTGCTCGGTGTGGCCAAAAATAAAAATAAAATAAACGGATGAACTTTAAAAACAATAAGCAGGCTGCAGTAGAAGGGGGCATCAGGGAATTGGTCTGCGGGATGTTCTCGTTGAAGGTAAATGAAAGCTTGCTTTTGTCTGGCTAAGGGACCGGTCCCTCAGAGGTGGGAAAGTGTGGAGGAGCCAAACCTGGAACAGCTGCTAACCCGATTGGAGGAGGAGCAACAGAGGTGATGGGCCCCAACTTTCTGGCCTGGGTGGTTGGCAGGCAGGTAGAGAAGGTTGATGGAAAACCTCTGTCTCGAGGGCTAACATGGATTAGAACCAAGGACTTCAGCCTTAGCCCTCCAGTTCCTGGCAGTGGAAAGTTCCAGTGGTTGTCATCTTACTCCAAGAGGTCCAAGGGTTGGCTCAGACCTTTGTTTAGTACTTGCTCCTACCCCTCCCCAGTGCAGGTGTGAGAGTCTAGCGGAGGTGAACACCCAGCTTCGGCTGCACATGGAAAAAGCTGACGTGGTGAATAAAGCGCTTCGGGAAGATGTGGAAAAATTGACAGTAGACTGGAGCCGGGCCCGGGATGAGCTAATGAGGAAGGAGAGCCAGTGGCAGATGGAGCAGGAGGTAAGAGAAACAGTGGGCGGGAATGGTGAGAGGAGGACTTGCAGTCTGGGCGCTGCCTGGTCAGTGCTGGAAGGGGTTAACTTCAGGACCTGGATGGAAACTGAGCTGTTTGTTAAAGTCTCTGGCCGTCCTTACTGCTCATGCTGGCAGCTCTGCCCTGCTTGGGCTGTCACCTTAGTTCTGTTCTTACCTGCCCAGTCGAGGTTTTGCTGGCAGGTAGCATGACACTCAAAGCAACTCTGTTCCTGCATAGGTTTTAGATGGATCTTAAAGTTTACTGACCCCCCTCATCTGGAAGTCTGCAATCTAGATGCTAAGGAGGTAGCTGTTGAAATTGAATGGGGAAGAAATTTTCAGATCCCAGTTAAAGGAAACTAATGTTTCCTGGGCCGTTGCTCTGTGTTAGGCATTATGTTAGGTGATTTACATATGTTATATCATTTAATCATCATTATAAGTCTGTGGTGATGATGGTAATAGCTCCCATTTGTTGAGCAGCTACTGTTTATCCTTTTCTAATCTAGCTCAAAGAAGGCCATATACCATCCTAGGCCCTTTGACCTCTTGAATCCCACTGCTAACTTTATTAAACACTTCAGCATCGCCTGAACATAGACACCCATTCATAAGCTATCTCCTTTAAGGCCCTCCACTTCCCCCCCAATAGCCAGGAGGAATCCAAGACTCCTGTGTTGGCAAAAGATGTCCTCTGCCCTTTGATATGACCTGGGTTTCTGAACACACAGTTCTTCAAGGGCTACCTGAAAGGGGAGCATGGTCGCCTTCTCAGTCTGTGGCGGGAGGTGGTGACCTTCCGTCGCCACTTCCTGGAAATGAAGTCAGCCACTGACAGGTCAGTGTGGAGGTATGACGGGAGGAGGTTTGCCCCTACCAACTCTATTCGCATGACAGTGGGCTGCTATAGAAGGGAATCAGGTTGTGGGGGAAAAGCAGAGGTGGAAGAGTTGGTGGGGAGGGATGGAGTTGTTGGATTGTTGGATTGAGATGACTTTTCCCAGACCTGCTCCTCAGGCTTCCCTGGGCGTGACCTCCACGCTCCCTTTCCTGTTCCTGGTCCCTGTTGGAGTCTGCTCTTTTCTTTACTTGTACTCAGAGACCTGACGGAGCTCAAGGCTGAGCATGTGAGGCTTTCAGGTTCCCTGTTGACCTGTTGTCTGCACCTGACTGTGGGAGCACCACAGTCCCGGGAATCTGATGGATCTGGGAGACTGAATGGGAGCGAGCCATCCCAGTTGATGCTGCTACTAGCCAGGACCCAGGAGCTGGAGAAGGAAGCCCATGAAAGGAGTCAGGAGTTAACACAGCTGAAGAGTCAAGGGCATCTGGAGAAGGCTGACCTTCAGGATCGGTGAGATGGCCTGGGTCCTAGGAGGGGTTCGCTAAGAGAAACTTGACTCCTTTAGGGAGTCAAGATAGGTGGGGGAGATGTGAAGAGCATTCCTCCCACAAGAGGGGAAGGAGATGTGCCAGAGGGAGTCTAGTTTGAAACCCAGTGCCACAGCTGGGGCTGTGTCACTGCCCTCTGCCCTCAGACTATCTTGCAGCTCAGTTTCTGTCCTGTTGACTTACAGAGCTGGCTGTGACTCTCCTCTATCAACACCAAACTATTTGCCATTCCCAGAACAGCCAAGTTCTTCCATGTTCCCTGCCTTTGTAGATGCTGGCCTTAGCCTGGAATGCCTCTCTCCCTTCTCTCTCTGCCTTATCCTTTAAGGCATAGTTAAATGTCACCTATTCTATGACCTTGATAGCCTGTTACATTACTGTGCCCCCGTATGGTCTTTTTGTTGTTGTTATATACATTTTTTTAAAAAATAAATTTATTTATTTATTTTTGGCTGCGTTGGGTCTTCATTGCTGCACGCGGGCTTTCTCTAGTTGTGGCGAGCAGGGGCTACTCTTTGTTGCGGTGCACGGGCTTCTTATTGCGGTGGCTTCTCTTGCTGAAGAGCATGGGCTCTAGGCGTCCGGGCTTCAGTAGTTGTGGCATGTGGGCTCAGTTGTTGGGCTCAGTTGTTGTGGCTCGTGGGCTCAGTAGCTGTGGCTTGTGGGTTCAGTGGTTGTGGCTCACGGGCTCCAGAACGCAGGCTCAGTAGTTGCACACAGGCTTAGTTGCTCCGCAGCATGTGTGATCTTCCTGGACCTGGGCTCGAACCTGTGTCCCCTGCATTGGCAGGCAGATTCTTAACCACTGCGCCACCAGGGAAGTCCCCCCTATGGTCTTTTGACGTGCTTGTTACATTGATCTCGTTGATTATTTAGTTTTGTTTTGGGTTTTTTTGGCTAGGCTCTTTTATTTTTTGGATTATAATAAAATAGATTTTTAAAAAATGATAAGAAGGGCAGGGACATAAACAAAGAGCTCCGTTTGAATCTTGGGGCAAAGTTCAGTTTATACCCCATGGCTAGGGTTGTGTCACCACCTATTGGTGGTGTGTGTAAATTGCAGTTTGTTTTGTTTGGGTTGTGAAGGCACTGGGAAGCACAAGGACAGAGACAATGTCTTAGTAAGTTTTGTGTTCTAGTGCTTTGCACTTCACCTGCGATATAGTAGACACTTAGTAAATGTTTGTTGAATCATACAATAACTAAATGAATGACCATACAGTGAGTTAAAGCTCTTAAAGATGATACAGAATAAAATTATGAAGACTTTGAAATAAAAAATTAAGCTCCTTGATAACTTCATTCAAGAAATATTTATTTAGCTACTTATATAACACCAGGTACTGAGCTCCAGGATATGGTGTTAGGTGATAAAGATGCCTGGTGATTTCCCTGAACTTTGAGGTTAGTATCAGGGAGGTTAACCATAATCTTTCCCAATTTGCCCCTCCTTTTTCTCTATCAGAGTTAGAACCTTGGGCTTGAGGGACCTTGGGACTATCCCATGTGGCAATTCTGATGTTCTTGTTGGCTTCAGGGCGCTTGACTTCAAGATCAAGCGGGGTCTGGAAGGGCCTGGTCCAGGGCTTTCCTTCAGCTCTTGGGCCCCCAAACACGTGTTCCAGTCTTGAGATGTGATAAATCCCTGCATGCGTCTGAGTGGCTTTTGGCTCCCCCTCCCCGAGTTCAAGGCTATAGCATCATGTATTCAGGGAGTGCAGGGGCTGGGGGCACCCAGGGGACTCTGGGGGGGTGGCAGTGGGGGTGTCTGGCTTGGGTTAGGGTGTGCTGCATAGCTCTGTCCGCATCAGTGGGTTCCCAGGTAACTGTGCTATGCTCTTCTCTTCAGGGTGACCGAGCTCTCTGCTCTACTGACGCAGTCTCAGAAGCAAAATGAAGATTATGAAAAGATGGTAAAGGCTCTGAGAGAGACGATGGAGATCCTGGTACGTGATCCTTTGTTCTGGGAGAGTTGGGAGCGGGCCTGTAGATTCCTGTCCTTTATGGACAGAGAGTGCAGGATACCAGTTAAATGTTCCTTGATGAAATCCCCTAAAGCTAAAAAATTAATTTTGGTTGAATCTGAAAATTATTTAACTCATTCATTTATCCATTTAATAAACATTAGCTGTCTGCTGTCCCTACTATATTCCTAGGGAAACTACAGCAGTGCGTGCATGCAGTGTGTCCTCCTCGGAGAGAGTGAGACACACATGAAGAGGCACACTAGCCAAGTAGGGGGGGGGGGATGTTTGGAGAGATTCAAAACCTAGTCATACGGGAAACACCTGAGGAGCATGAATGTGGTTAGCCTGGAGAAGGAGGGCTTGAGGAAGACATGATGGCTGCCTTCACATAACTGAAGGACTGACACCAGGGAAGAGAGTTGGCTTGTTTAATGTTTGCCAGCGGGGCACAATCACTGCCAGTGACTGGAAGTTACAGGGTGGTAGAGCAGCTGGAGCTGCTCGGTAGTTGAACAGTCTGTCTAATGAAGGAGTGAGGTTTGTGTCACTGGCTTAACATCTGCCAGGGTTGTTATCAAAGGGATTCTCTAAGGTTGGAAGTTAGAACCTCTGGCTTGATTGCACGTTTCCTTTCATCTCTGGGAATTTTCAGATCTCTGATTTTAGGCAAATCCTGCACCCCTATCCACATACATATCCCTAGTCTTCTCATCCAAGCTAGGATCAGCTGGGAGCTAGACATGCTTATGCCTTTTTGGTTTCTTTTTTTTTTTTTTGCGGTACGCGGGCCTCTCACTGTTGTGGCCTCTCCTGTTGCGGAGCACAGGCTCTGGACGCGCAGGCTCAGTGGCCATGGCTCATGGGCGCAGCCGCTCCGCGGCATGTGGGATCTTCCCGGTCCGGGGCAGGAACCCGTGTCCCTTGCATCGGCAGGCGGACTCTCAACCACTGCGTCACCAGGGAAGCCCTTGGTTTCTTTTTGTTCAGGAATTTGCAAATTCAGATGTCCGCAGGGCCCAGGTAATATAAATGAATGAAGTGGGTTCAGCTATAAGAATTCTGATTTTCCAGTGCTGTCATATTTAGTTTCCAATATACCAGGGAACACTTGATCTCAATAGTAAGGAAACAGTGAGGAGTAGTGAGGACTGCAGGACCCTGAAGAATATATGTCCCATCTGGAGGAGGCATCCTCTATTCAACTTCAGTAAATTATTGCCATGTAGGGATGGGGGCTGGTGTGGCCCATATGTTAACTTTTTGAGAGAAGCCAGAAATTCAGATTTTTATGAATTTTTATGAATTTCTCAGCTCAGAAAAATCTCTCAATTTACAAATGTTGGTTCAAATTTTATATAGGCCAAAAAAAAACATAGCTGCAAATCTGCGTCTTTAAGCCTTCACTAGCACAATAAGGTAAGAAGGAGGAGGGGACATTTTGAGAGTTCAAATTTATTGCTGACCTTGGGGCTAGAGGTTCCTCTGGCTTTAAGTCTCAAGTGCCAATTTGCTGTTCAGAGACAGCAACCATCCTTCATCCAATGATAGCTCACATTTAATGAACATTTGCTTTCTGACAGACACTGTGTTGAGTAATTTACATGCAGTTTTTTCATTCAAGCCTCAAAACAAATCTATGAAGTAGTTGCTGTTAATTATTCCTATTTTATTTTATTTTTTAAGTTTTTCCATTTTTTAAAAATTTTTGGCTGCGTTGGGTCTTCGTTGCTGTGCACGGGCTTCTCATTGCGGTGGCTTCTCTTGTTGCGGAGCACAGGGTCTAGGTGCGTGGGCTTCAGTAGTTGTGGCGCATGGGCTTAGTTGCTCCGCGGCATGTGGGATCTTTCCAGACCGGGGCTCAAACCCTTGTCCCCTGCATTGGCAGGCGGATTCTTAACCACTGCACCACCGGGGAAGTCCCTTAGTCCTATTTTAAAGAGAAGGAAGCTCAAAGAAGGAGTTGCCTAAGGTTACCAAGCTAGTAAGTGATAGAGCAAGAAATCTTATCTAGGCAGTCTAATTTGGAGCTCTTAATCCCTTAATCTGAATTCTTAATCACCACATCACATTGTCTTCAGAATCCTGGGACAGTGTTAACATTCACGTGTGGTCAGGGGAAAAGTGGGATTGACAGAATAGACAGAATGAGACTCTGGTTAATTTGGGGCCTGGAATGATAAATTCTCTTCTGAGAGTTTGGCTCATAGGCTCTATTTGGTTCCCTGTCCAGGAGGCAAATCACGCAGAATTAATGGAACACGAGGCATCTCTAAGTAGGAATGCCCAAGAAGAGAAGCTGTCTTTACAGCAAATGATCAAGGACATAACCCAGGTACTGGTAAGCCTCCGGTTCACAGTAACCGGTCCAGCCTCACCCTCCCCAGACCTCCCCGCCCTCTCAGGTGCGCCTAGAGGAGTCTGGACTTAGGGTCTTGGGGGGGAGGAATTGTCTGAGTACATTTGAAGACTGGAACCCTGAGGAGTAGCTAAGCTTTCGTGTGCTGGCACTGCCTGCTGAAATGCCCTCTCTCTTACTGCTAGCTGCAGTTCTCCGGCAGCGGCTGGATCCTGGCCTTTGCTACCTCAGCAACCTCTTCTTCCTTCATTTATTCCTTGGGTGTTCAAGGGGCGCTAGTCTTGTTGCTCATTCTAGGTTTGGGTGACCGAAGGGGAAGAGTTGGTTTGAGGAGTTGAAGGAACCAACCTTTTTGGCTCTTAAGATACCCTCCTCCCACCCCCCAGGGAGAGGACCTGAGAGAGAAAACATCAGGTTTGTCCAGGCTGGCATGTTAGTCCTCTACATGGATTCTAGGCCTTGGTCAGTAGGATGGTGACCCTGCTGTGTTGGATTTCAGGCCATGGTAGAAGAGGAGGACAATATGGCCCAAGCCTCTGGTCATGAGAGCTCCTTGGAGTTGGACCCTAGTGGCTTCTCCTCCCAGTTTGATTCCCAGCAGCCAGACAAGGCTCTTTCTCTGGTGCGTTCAGTGCTGACTCAGAGACGCCAGGCTGTGCAGGTGAGAACCCCAGCACTCCTCCTCAGCCACAGGGATGGGTGTCTAAACTGACTTGGGCCCCAGGTACCCTCCTAGCCCAGACTGCCCCTTTTGCTGCGTTGACCAGTCACAAGGTGTTTTGTCAACACCCCGAAGTGCCCATTAGAACCTCTGTGTCTGCCCAGTTGTGCTCGTGGGGAGCAGGCACACTCTCCTTGCCACTGGCACGCTCCACTTTGATGCAGTCTTTACACAGCACTGTGCAAAATGGAGCCCCAGGAGAGTGTGGGTAAGCGTCCCCCAATTCTAAGGGTCCCAGCCACACTTACCACCCCCACCATTTTACATTTGAAGATGATGGACTCTGACACTCTGGAAGCCACAGAACCCAGTCATCTCTGATGCTCTGTCTCCTCAAATGGTCTCATCTCTTTTCGTAGCTTCCCTTTGTTGCACCAGCCCCCAACCCCCTTGCCCAGCCCTACTTTCAGGCTTATGACATCCCTCCTCTGCCCTGCGCTCTTGTTCACCACCTCACTTCTGATGCTCTCCCTCCGCAGGACCTAAGGCAGCAGCTGTCAGGCTGCCAGGAAGCTGTGAGCTCCTTGCAGCAGCAGCATCATCAGTGGGAGGAGGAGGGTGAGGCCCTGAGACAGCGGCTACAGCAGCTCACCGGGGAGCGGGACACTCTGGCAGGGCAGACTGTGGACCTGCAGGGGGAGGTGGACTCTCTCAGCAGGTGAGCGGGAGCTGTTCATCCCCCGCTTCCTCCCAGGCTCAGTCCCCGCCCAGCCCATGTGTTTGGTTGGCTGACCCTGTTCTTCCCTAGACCCACAGCTGCTCAGGGCCTCCTTGCTTTGTGTTCTGCTGGTTCCTGCTCACTCAGTTTTGGGTCTTTGTGATAAAAAAAAAACAGTTTCCTGCTCAAAAGGGAAGATGAGATATTTAAAGGAAACATAAACCTCTCTCCTTTGACCCTGTGCTGTCTGCTTCCAGGAGGGCTTTTAGGTTCCAGGGTTTCTGTTCATGTCCGGTCTCCTTCCAGGGAGCGAGAGCTCCTGCAGAAGACCAGGGAGGAGCTGCAGCAGCAGCTGGAGGTGCTGGAGCAGGAGGCGTGGCGACTGCGGAGGACAAACATGGAGCTTCAGCTGCAGGGCGACTGTGCTCAGGGCGAGAAGGAGGAGCAGCAGGAGGAGCTGCACCTGGCCATCCGTGAACGGGAGCGCCTGTGCGTGCGTGTGACAGCCCCTCCCCGCTCTTAGAAAGTGGAGTAAATTGAAGCCTGGTGTTCGGTGGGTTCAGATTAGCTTACTGCTCCGTCCTTTGCAGGAGGATGAAAACAGAAAGTTCATCCAAGCATTGCTGAACACCCAGGAGGGCCGAGGCCCCGTGGCGGGTACAGAAATAAATAAGACACAGGCTCTGATCTCAAGCAGTTTGCAGTGTAATGGGGAAGTCAGACAAGTGGCCAGATGAAGTATGAGCTAAAAAAGAGCTTCAAGCTAGGTCCTCTGGGAGAATAGGAGTAACAGTTAATTATTGAAAGCTTCATGGAGGAGAGGGTAGCCGTTGAGCTGGGCCTTGACGTATTTTGATTGGTAGAGAGTGGGACAAGGGCTAAAGGAACAGATTAGCAAAGAAAAGGAGTCAGGAACGTTCATGGCATGTTCAGAGGAGGCCGGGCTGGCCAAACTGTAGGACTGATCCTGGGAAGTAATGGAAAATGAGCTGGTCAAGGAAGGGAATTTCAGAGTACAGGGACCCAGCTCATTTGTAAATTCCCCGATACCATGTCATAGAAAAAGCAAGGACTTTAGAGCTGGGCAGAAGCTTGGTTTAAATTATGGCTCTGCCACCTGGACAGATTATTTGTAAAATGGGGCTGATAATATTTCCCTTGAAGAGTCTTTGGGGAGATTAAAGCAGTGTTTTGCAAAATGCCAGCACAGAGCCTGACATATGGTAAGTCTTCAGCACCTGGTAGCAGGGGCTATATCTTTTTTTTTTTTTTTTTTTTTCAATTTTGGCTGCATCATGTCTTAGTTGCGGCATGCGGGATCTTCATTGCAGCATGCAGGATCTTTTGTTGTGGCGCCCAGGCTTCTCTCTAGTTGTGGTGTGCGGGTTTTCTCCCTCTAGTTGTGGTGCACAGGCTCCAGAGCACGTGGGCTCTATAGTTTGTGGCACGTGGGCTCTCTAGTTGAGGCACGCAGGCTCAGTAGTTGTGGCGCACGGGTTTAGTTGCTCCATGGCATGTGGGATCTTAGTTCCCTGACCAGGGACCGAACCCACGTCCCCTGCATAGGAAGGTGGATTCTTTACCACTGGACCACCAGGAAAGTCCCTGTATCTCCTTCATCTTTTTTTAAATTTTATTTATTTATTTATTTATTTATTTTTGCGGTACGCGGGCCTGTCACTGTTGTGACCTCTCCCGTTGCGGAGCACAGGCTCCGGACGCGCAGGCTCAGTGGCCATGGCTCACGGGCCTAGCCGTTCCGTGGCATGTGGGATCTTCCCGGACCGGGGCACGAACCCGTGTCCCCTGCATTGGCAGGAGGACCCTCAACCACTGCGCCACCAGGGAAGCCCTCTTCTTCATCTTTGATGCATCCCCTCCTCACCTGTTCCCTAGCTCCTTCTGCGTAATAGGCATGAATAATGGAATCTTGAATGACTGCTCTAAGGATCATGACTTGCACAAGGAGCGGTCTCTCCTCTACTAAGGAAAAGGAGAGACAATCCACAAAGATAGTTTTATGTTTTTAAATTTAATCTGTGTGACTCGATAATACACCTATTTATATGATTCAAAAGTCAAAACTATTTTAAAAGGTATGCAAAGAGAAAGTACTACTTCCCTCGGCTTCATTCATCCCATATTCCTTCCTTCTGTTTGTAACCATTTAAATTAATTTCTTATTAATATGTCTAGTGCTGCTTTATGCAATAAATGCATATATCCTTATCTCCCCCAGTTTCTTGCATAAAAGATAGTACACCATGTATACTGTTCTGCGCCTTGCTTTTTCCATGTTATGTGTCTTGGAGACCTCTCCTTATCAGTTTTTAGAGACCACCTTCATTCTTTTGCATCGCAAAAGCAATTGCATTCCTGTTATCTTTTGGGGTGTGGCCACTCCCTGAGATTTCCTCTAGCCCCCTTCTGTTTCCCATCTTAGTCAGGAGACGCTGGCGGGCCTAGAAGCCAAACAGTCAGAGTCGCTCAGTGAAGTGATCACCCTTCGGGAAGCTCTGGAGTCCAGTCGCCTGGAAGGGGAGTTGCTGAGACAAGAGCAAACAGAAGTGACCGCCGCACTGGCCAGGGTGCGTGGCCCGCCCCCTCGCTGGCTGGGTGGGGCGGGCGGCTTGGAAAGTTGTGTCTCCAGGAAAAAGGCGCGCAGCCTGCCTCGTTCTTCATCCTGCAAGTCATGGCCCTTCCTGTTTCTTGCCTCAATGCCTAGTTACTGCTTTTGGGTTCTGTCCCTCCAAACAGACTCTCTGTATTGCAATTAGGATGGTTTTCTAAAGTGTCAATCTGGTCATGTCAGTCTCTTTCCTAAAACCATTCATTGGCTTCCCAGCTCCTTGGTACCACATGCAAAGCCCTCTGCCACCTGCCCCAAACTGTTTCTAGCCTCCTCTTCACTCCAGATCCCTGTTCTAATGCCTCATATACCTTCGTTCCTGCCACATAGCACTAATTGCATTCTCAGTTTTACCCGTTCTTTCGTGATTTTAATACTTTGTATGTACTTTTCCCTTTGCCTGGACTGCTTCTTTCCTCCCCTTTTAACCGCAAACTGTTCCTCATCTGTCAGTACCCAACTTAACTGTCGACTCTTCCACCAAGCATTTTTGATTCTCTCAAATTGAATTAATGCTTTCTTTGAGTTCCCAGAGCACTTTGTGCTTACATTGGCTATGGTGTCATCACAGTTGTAGTTGCTTATACATCCTGATGTCTGTGCCTCTGTAATGTGAGTTCCTCTCTTACTCTTCAACAAATGAATGGGTAAGTGAATGAAGAAATGAAGGGAAAAGTTGTTCAGAATGTAAGGGAAGGAATGAAGTGTTAACTGATCTCTGTACAAGGAAAGCAGCACATGTTGGGGGTGTGAGCTGTTCACTGTTGCAGGAAAACTGGAAAATGAAACTCTAACTCTCTGCTTTTAGGCAGAACAGTCTATTGTGGAGCTGTCGAGTTCTGAGAACAGCCTGAAGGCTGAGGTAGCTGATCTTCGGGCTGCAGCTGTCAAACTCAGTGCCTTAAATGAGGCTTTGGCCTTAGATAAAGTTGGGCTGAACCAGCAGCTTCTCCAGGTGAGCAAAGATTTCTCTGGTCCACAGGGTAGGGCTGGGCCCCGACCGAGGGCAAGGGAGAGACAGACAAAGCTGATGCCTGTAACAAGGAACAGTTCTTAAATGGATCAGCCCAAGACAGATCAGCTCCCAAATGTAGTCCTGGAATGAGCAAAAGGAACATTTATAGTGCAAAGGAGAGCAAAGATTACAAGGCCCGGGCTCAGCCATTAAAAATAGACCCCTCCCACATCTGCAGCAGAACTACCTTTGGGCTTTAGGGTAAAATCATCAGGGCTAGGCCCATGTCCTCTGGAAGGAAGACTGGGTTTTAATCCTGTTGTATGAGATAACAGCAATCACAGAAAAGGATCTGTTGAAGAGCCCAAGTCTCAGAATTTTCTCTAGAGGTTACAAATTTAACACATCTCTTCACTACCCCATTCCCTTGAGCCCCAGAAATGTTGTATGTTCCCTTATTCTGAATTCTTTAAGAGCAGGATTTTGCCTTTTTTCTCTCTGTCCCCAGCATCAACCCATCTAGTACCTGGAGTAAAGACCCCAGACCAAATGTGTGCATAGTCCTCCTCTCTCGTAAGCACTCCTGTGTTCATCTGTGGAGAACAGATTCATATCTCACTTGGATTTCTGTCTCAGCACTTCATCTCTAAACCGTAACCCTTTGTCTTCGATGTCCTTCCCTTTTTGGCCAGTAGTTAGAACAGGAGAACCAGTCTGTGTGCAGGAGGATGGAAGCAGCAGAGCAGGCGAGAAACACTTTGCAGGTGGGCCTGACAGAGGCCGAGAGGAACAAGGAAGCCCTGTGGGAAAAGAACACCCACCTGGAGGCTCAGCTGCAGAAAGCGGAGGAGACCAGGGCTGAGCTGCAGGCAGATCTCAGGGGCATGCAAGATGAGAAGGAAGAAATTCAAGAGAAACTAAGCGAGGTGAGAAGACAAAACTGCTACCATCCCATTAAGGATGCTCACTGTACATGCTCGTTGTACATACATGCTCACTGTAAAAAATGAAAACACTACAGAAATGATTCAGGAAGGGAAAATCTCACTTCCTAGAAATGACCAGTGTTACTAGTTTGGGGTATGTCTCCCAGTTTTTTTAAAAGAATTCCTAGAGGAATCCTTCACTGATTCTTCATTGCTTCACATCCATCAGTTTGAATTAGATGCCTCTCCTGTGTTTTCTGATAATACATTGTATTTATTCAACCACCACTCCCTTCATACTGTATTATAATTATCTGTGTTTATGTGTCTCCACCATTAGACCAAAAGCTCCTTGAAGGCAAGACTATGTCTTACTTGTTTTTATAACTCCAGCTTTTAGTCCAGTGTGTAACACATAGCAGGGGGCTCTGAGTTTTTTCTGAACCAGTGCCCCAGCTCAAAGGTCATCTTTCTTCTCTACCAAGCATCTCATTGCCCTAGTAATTATACATAATCTCCCTTCTCAGAGCCTTTTTCTCAGGGCACTGATCACTTTCTTCCTGGTATTATGTGTGTGTCTTACCTCTCCTTAAGACTAAAAGCTCCTTAGAGGTAGATCTCTTGCAGCCGTAGCACAGGGTATTGCTCAAAGGAGAGCCTGTTTCCTGGGCTGGGGACTCTGTAGGTTGATCAGGGGAATAGATAAATGGTACTTGGTGTGAGTGGGCAGTGCTCAAGGCTCACAGAGCTGGGTCCAGAATCTGAGGAGCCCATGGCCCTAATCTGGTGATAGCAGCCCTGGGGGGATCCTGCCTCCCTCTGTATCCCATCAGTTCTTCCCCTCAGGCACATCACCAGCAGGAGGCAGCCTTAGCTCGGGTGGAGCAGCTGCATCAGGAGGCAAAGCGACAGGAAGAGGCGCTTGCCCGGGAAGTCCAGGAGAAGGAGGCTCTAGCGCGGGAAAAGGCGGCTCTTGAGGTGCGGCTGCAGGCTGTGGAGCGGGACCTGCAGGACCTCTCTGAACAACTGCGGGGGCTCAGGTAGGGTCTGGACCTGGTTCTGCCAAAGGCAGAGAGAGCTTTACAAGGCAAGGGGGAGCCAACCTAAGTTCCTTGCCCAAAGTATATGGGGCCTAAATGAGTTATGAATTTGTAATTGTCTCCCCGCCCCCATATTCTCTCTTGGTGACCAGTAGTTAGAACCCAGTTCCTCTTAAGGAAGGGGCTTGATGGGTAAGAACTCTCCCAATTCCTGAACCTGACAGCTCAGCCAAGGAGCTACTGGAGAGCAGTCTGTTTGAGGCCCAGCAACAAAATTCTCTGATAGAGGTCACCAAGGGGCAGCTGGAGGTCCAGATTCAAACCGTCACTCAAGCCAAGGAAGTAATCCAAGGTAAGAACCCAACTTGGATGGGCGCACTTCATTCCACAGGGATGTTGAAAGCTAGGAAGACAGTGGGAAGCTATTAGAGCCAGGCCCAGGGCCTCTGAGATGGGAGTTCCTCATGAGGTCTGGGGAGAGGGGTGAAAGATGGAGGACAGAGGCTCAGAGACAAGATCCTGTCCCTGGCATCTTAGGGCAAGTGAAGTGCCTGCAGCTGGAACTGGACACTGAACGGAGCCGGGCAGAGCAGGCACGGGATGCGGCAGCCAGACAGCTGGCCCAGGCTGAGCAAGAGGAGCAGGCTGCCCTGCAGCAGCTGAAGTCAGCCCATGAGGAGGAGGTGAACCGGCTCCAGGAGAAATGGGTAGGTGGTGGTTGTGGCTAGGGGATGGGAGAGACAGACAGCAGCAGGTATTCCTGCTTATAAAAGTGAAATCTGAACAGGACTAGTCTGGTTGGTCACCATGGTGCAAAATCCAGCTTCTACCTAGTAAATGAGTTAATGTATGGAAAACACTAATAATAGTTCCTGGTATACAGTAAGCTCTATATTTGTGTTAGGTATTATTGTTGTTGTTGTTTCTGTATGTATAGAGACTTAAGAGTGGATCCTGGGATTTAGGATCGATAAACTGGCCCCAGGGTGTAAAGGGAGCAGAGGAATGCCTTGGACCTATTATTGCCCAATTCAGAACTGTGTTTCTTTTGTCTTTTAATTATTTAATTTAGTCCATTTGCTTTTATTGTGATTATAGGCATATTTGGATTTATTTCCACCATCTTATGCTATTTCTTTTGCCTTTTTTTTTTTTTTTTTTTTGTGGTACGCGGGCCTCTCACTGTTGTGGCCTCTCCCGTTGCGGAGCACAGGCTCCGGACGCGCAGGCTCAGCAGCCATGGCTCACAGGCCCAGCCGCTCCGCGGCATGTGGGATCTTCCCGGACCGGGGCACGAACCCATGTCCCCTGCATCGGCAGGCGGACTCTCAACCACTGCGCCACCAGGGAAGCCCTCTCTTGCCTTTTTACACCTTTTGGGGAGGGGAATTCACCTTTCTTAACTTCTTTTAGAGGGTTATATCGGATTATTAAATTGTATTCTTTTCTCACTTCTTTTTTTCTCTCTACTACTTTGGATGATAGGTACTCTACTCTTTATTCTTTTAGTTGTTCTTTAATATTTTAAAATACATACTTAATAAAATCTGAAGTTAATCAGTATATTTACCCTTTTCCTGAATGACACAAGGACCAGAGAACATTTTACCTGCATTCACTCCTCCCAACCTATCAACTGTATTAGTCATTGTGTTTAGTTATTACTAGTTGTTAACACCATACATTATGTGTTTTGATTATTTTATACAGTCAATAATTGTTTAGATACACTGAAAATTTTACGAGGTTTTTTTGCTCACCATTCCTCCTTGCGTGTCAGGCTTTCTATTTGGATTTGTTTTCCTTGAAGTAGAATTTCCTTTGGTGAGGGTATGTTGGTAGTTAATTGTCCGAAAATGTCTATTTTACTTTTATTCTTTTTTATAGCTTTTTCCTTTTTTAAATTTTATTTTTTATTGAAGTATAGTTGATTTACAATGTTGTGTTAGTTTCAGGTGTACAGCAAAGTGATTCAGTTATATATATATATATTATGTCTTTTTTTTTGCAGATTCTTTTCCCTTATAGGTTATTACAAAGTATTGAGTATAGTTCCCTGTGCTATATAATAGGTCTTTGTTATCTATTTTATATATAGTAGGTATATATGTTAATCCCAAACTCCTAATTTATCCCTCCCACTTTTATTCTTGAAAGATAGTTTCACTGGGTATAAAATTCAGGTACAAATTCTAAGGTAACCATTATTTTCTGTCAGCACACTGATTATTCCGTTGTTGGTATTGAGAAGCCTCTAATTAGTTGTATGTTAGAACTTGGTGTAACCTTCAGGTATCTTAACTTTCTGTCTTAGATTTTTCATGTGTACTTTTTCTACACTGTATTCTGGGTGATATTTTTTCAGATCCCTCTTCTATTCACTAATTTCCCTTTTCAACTGTGTCTAATCTGCTTTATAGTCTATTCACCAAGTTTTAAATTTTATTTATTAAATATTTTATTTCTCAACATTCTGTTTGGTTATTTTTTCAAATCTTCTTGGTCATTTTTTAGTGTCTTCTCCCTAATTTATATTTGCAGTCCCCTCTTTTATTCTTTAAACACATGAAACATACTTTTATGCTGTCTAATAATTCCAACACCTAAAATCTTTTTGGATCTCTGTTATATGTTGTTTCCCTTGGCTCTCACTGATGACCTTGACCCCTATGTGTTTTGTGATTCCTGACTCTGAACTCATGTTCTCTGGAAATTTTTCTGTGGGAATCCTTTTAGGCCCGAGGCAAAGGAGATTTTCCTCAGAGATTTGCTTTTGCTTCTCTGAGGAAGCTGAAGGACTAGCATCCCAGGACCACCTTAAAGTACAATTTCTGTTTCAAGTTTTTGGGCCACATTCAGGCCCTGAACCCACATGAACACCAGCCTATGGTTATGAATTCTCAAGTGATATATATATATATAGTCCTTTGTGAAGGTTAAAACAAATTTTCTTGCTATTCCCTTCTGTACAGTGTTTTGTTTTCTCTCTCCCCCACTTTTTCTCTCTCCCTTTTTCTTCCCCTTTTCTCCCTCTCTCAGGTTTATCCATTTACTGAGGACTGTAGCCCAGGGATGGGTGGGTGTTTTTCTGAAGAGCCACATTGGGCCTTGCAGACCATACAGTCTCTGTCACACTCACTCTTCTCTGCCGCTCTAGTGCAAAAGCAGCTGTAAACGACATGTATGTAAATGAGCATGGCTGTGTTCCAATAAAACTTTATGTATGGACATTGAAACTGAATTTCATATAATTTTCACATGTCACAAAGTCTTATTCTTCTTTTGACTTCTTATCAACCATTAAAAGCATAAAAACCACTCTTAGCTCACGGGGCCAGGTTTGGCCCATATGCCATAGTTTCCTGACCCCAGATAGCCCTTTGGAGGTCCAGCCTTATGTCTCCTGTCAGGCTCCCCACCCTTTGTTTTCTGTTTTCTTTGCCCACATTGCCAGAAAATGAATTTCAAGGTTATTAGGTAAAGTAAATACCTCCAGTGGAAAGCCTGTTCTGTGCTCATTTACCTCTTTAGATCACAAGTATTGCTTTGATTTTGGCTCCAATGAAATTTTCATTATTTTCCTGCTGGCTCAGTGATACATTAAGATATATACTTAATAGTTAAATTGGCTTTTTTTTTGTTTGTTAGTTTGTTTTGCCCTTTTACAGGTGGAGGGTTCAGAGAGCTTGTTTGTCAGATTTCTGGAAATGGAAGTTGACTTGTGTTTTGTGTGTATTTGTGATTTGATAGTTATTACAAGGCAGACTTGTTGGCAAGATGGTAGCCAAAAGTTTGCCTCTTTTTGGAATTATGTGCCTAGATTATAGTAGGTACTTCAAAATATTTATTGAATGACCAGTGTCCAGAGGCAGTTCAGTTTCCCAGCAAGAATCAGGCATACCACCCACTGAAAACCCTACAAGTAAAAGAAGCTATAAAACTTCTGAATGATGTGTTACCACCTGATGCAGACTTGGTATCCGTGGAAGGACTGACCATCTCATGGCCACACCTGAATCATGGGAAAGTCTCTTCCGTCTTTTCCTTTCTTCTCAGTCAGATAATCCCCCTGACTTCTGATTGTCTGACTTTATGATCTCCCTACTGATTGAAAGGGTTGAAATCCCACATAACTCTCGAGAGTCTGTTAGTTTTTCGTTTTTTGGCCACGCCACACAGCATGCAGGATCCTAGTTCCCTGATCAGGGATTGAACCCAGGCCCTTGGCAGAGTCTTAACCACTGGACCGCCAGGGAATTCCCAGAGAGTCTGTTAGTTTTAACAGTGCCTGCCTTGTCCTGGAGTCCTACCAATTAGAAAAACTCTTAGGGGTTATATTCTCCATTCTTCCATCTAGTGTCTGAATCCCCTTTAATAGCAGTGATAGTGGATACTTACTTACTGAGCACTTTCCCATGCCAGGTACCATGCTGAATGCTAGTCACGTTATTTCAGATAGCCTACACAACCACCTAGTGAGGAAACTGAGACTTAGAGAAGTCACTCAGGGTTACCTGGCTAAGAAGTGGTAGAGCAGGGATTAACCATTTCTTAGCATTTATGCTATGTCCACTTCTACAATATCCCTTCCAAGGGTTGCTTAGCTTCTGTTGTATTCCATCCATTGGAATGCCCATTTATTTTTAGATAGATCTAGTTATTAGAAAATTATTCCTTAAGCTGAGCCAAAATCTATTACCTGAAACAAATCAGCCTTAGATTTGCTTGGAATACCTCACCAACATGGTTGATTTCCTCTAGACATGATACACATCACTCATGAACCAGTGTGCAGAGTATTCTGATCCACAGACTAGGCAGCAACGCTTGACTGTTACTTCCTGGACATCACAGAATTAGCCCTTCTGGTAGCCATAACACACTTCTAACTCATATTGAGCAAATAGGTCAGTTTTGTTTTGTTTCTTTTGACACTTAACTACTATTAAATTCATCTTTCCCATATTCTTACAGTTGGCTTTTTGAACCAGAGTGTATGATTTGATACTCATAGCGGGCCTGTTAACTGTGGTATTATAGATCACTGTTCTTAAGCATCTTAATAGTCCAATAGCTGAAATGTGATTCATTCAAGCAATGCTGAGTTCTTACTGCCTGCCAGGCATGATGCTGGGCATTGAGGATACAGCGGAGAGCAAAGCAGACATGGTTCTCCTGATGGAGCTTCACGTCTTGGGGGAAGATAGGTATTAAATAAATTCATACATAAATGAGTAACTGATGATGGAAGTTCCATGAAGAAAAAGAACTGGGTGATAGAAGAAGAAGAACAAAGGGGGACCGTTTTGAGCGTATGGTCTGGGAAGGCATCTATGAGGAAGTGTCGTTTAAGCCATGAGTGACGGTGGGGTGGGAAGAGCAGTCCAAGCAGAAGGAAAGCATGAGTCAAGGCCTTCAGGAATGGAGGTGCGTGGTGTCCTCCAGGACCTGAAAGGAGGCCAGTGCAGCCAGCGTGTAGCAAGTGAAGGGAGAGTGCGCGAGACGATGTTGGAAAGGGGTGAAACACTAGAGGCCTTCCCACTGAATGTGGATAACTACGACTTACAAACATTTTAAAGGAAAGGTGATGAAGATGATGATAGCTGTTGGCTACTGAATGCTTTCTGGGTGCTCAGCACCATTTAAAGTGCTTTACACGACTTACTTCACTCGTGAGAACAACCCTAGGAGGACCCTGTTGTTATCCTCATTTAAAAAAAATTTTATTATTATTTTTTACACAGGATTTATTTAGGCCATGCTGTGCAGCTTGCAGGATCTTAGTTCCCGGACCAGGAACCAAACCTGCGCCCTCAGCAGTGAAAACACAGAGTTCTAACCACTGGACCGCCAGGGAATTCCCTGTCCCCGTTTTTATAGATGAGGAAACTGAGGCACAGAGATGCGATAGAAATGAACTGAGGTCACACTAGTAGTACTGGGGTAAAGACTGTAACCTAGGCAGCCTGGCTCCAGTGCCCTTCACCACCATCCTGAGATCCTAATAGAGGGGCTGGATTCGTCTAGGAGATCAGGGAGGGTGTCGGTCACTGATGGACCTCTGGGAGGACCGGGATGCCCCATCCTAACGCTCTTGTATCGTATAGGAGACAGGCTCGGCCTGGCTTTTTGGGAGGCTAATCCTGTCACCCTGAGCAGGGGAGTGGGGACAGCAGAGAGCGGGTCCGCCCCCTCAGTTCGCTGTTACAACCACCAACCATGATGTGCTTGCTTTAAAATAACAGATATTTGTAGCTTATATGAGGGACAGTTGTGCTTTAGAAAACACTTTTCCATGTATTATATCATTTGATTTTTTTTTTAATAAATCTCATTTGATCCTCATAAAATTTGGCGGGATGGGCAAGGCAGGATGATCTGCCTCACCTCGCACATGAGGAAGCAGGCTTGTCACGTGAGGCACCAAGGTCACACAGCTGGTGAGCAGCAGGCTTCTTGCCCTAACCCGGTTCTCCTTCTGCCTCCTCTCCTCACCCCCTCGGCTCTAACGGTGCTTCCTTCGTACGACCAGGAGAGAGAGCGCTCCTGGCACCAGCAGGAACTGGATAAGGCTCTGGAGAGCCTGGAGAGGGAGAAAATGGAGCTGGAAACGAGGCTGAGGGAACAGCAGGCAGAAACGGAGGCCATGCGGACACAGAGGGCAGAAGAACAGGCCGAGGCCGAGAGCGCCCTGTGCCAGGTGGGCAGCTGGGAGGACTGGGCTGCACGTCCACCCTGTGATCCCCCTACCTTGGGCCACTTCCTTTCCCACTCCCGAGGGTGGTGCTGCAGGGGCTTCCAGAAGAGAATGTAGCTTCCCACTCTGTTCCCCATGAGCAGGTGATCGGTACCGTTAGCTGCACGGCCGGCGGCATGTCCTACTTCCTGAGGGAGGGCTGTCGTTTACCACATCCTGTCAGCTTGCAAACCAGCAGCAATCTTCGTACTTCCTGGCTCTCAGTCAGTGGGTCCAGACCTTCCTTCGCCCTCAGCCCCCACCCCATTTGCTAGAAGAGCCCTAGAGCAGCTGGCGTGTGCTTGTGGCCTAGTGGGTGAGCATGGTGACCCCTAACCCAACACGCCCTCGCCCTCCTGCCCCTCCACAGATGCAGCTTGAAACAGAGAAGGAGAGGGTGTCCCTCCTGGAGACACTGCTGCAGACCCAGAAGGAGCTGGCAGATGCCAGCCAACAACTGGAGCGGCTGAGGCAGGACATGAAGGTTCAGAAGTTAAAGGAGCAGGTACGGAGGGTGGTTCTGGGCAAGGAAGAAGAGGCAGCATTGATTTATTCATTCACATTGACCTGCTCTTTGGCACTTCTTTGCACCGGGCCCTGCCTAGGTGCTGACATTTGACCAACAGAAAGGTGTGGCACAACGGTGAACATGACAGTCATGGAGTTCTAGTGGCAGAGCAGACACAAAATAAGTGAGATAATTACCGGTTGTGATAAGGGCTGTAAAGGAAATAAATAGGACGATGTAATTGAGAGTGATTCAAAGGAGGCCTCTTTGGACAAGGTGGTCATGGAGGGCCTCTCAGAAAATGACGTTTGAGCTGAACCATTAAGGTTGAAGAGCCAGACCTGTAGACCAGTAAGGATGAACCTTGAAAGCATTATGCTGAGTGAAAGAGGCCAGTTGCAAGAAGGCACACAGTGTGTGATTCCACCTGTGGGAAATATCCAAAACAGGCAAATCTACACAGACAGAAAGTAGATGAGTAGTTGGGAGCGAGGATGGGGGATGGGGAGGGCACAGGATTTCTGTCTGGAGATGATGAAAATGGTAAAAAAATGATCGTGGTGACAGTTGCACAACTCTGTGAATATGCTAAGGCCATTGAATTGTATGCTTTAAATGAGTAAATCGCAGGGTATGCGAACTGAATCTCAATAAAATCATTAAAAGGAAAAGAAAAGAAGCCAGCCATTTGAAGAACAGTTTAGGCAGAGGAAAAAGCTATCATAAGGGCCTGGGACAGGCAGAAAGGGCCTGGGACAGTTCAGGACAGACAGGAGGCAGCATGATAAGCTTGGGGGCAGGAGCCCTTTGTCAGCCATGGTAGGACCTTGGACTTTGTTCTAAGGGCAGTGGGAACATGTTGGATGGTATTTAAAAAGCAGAGTGGGACATGAGTTATTACGTACATATTTTAAAATACTTTAGCTGCTGAGGGGAGAATTTTGTGTGTGTTTGTGTTTGCCTGCTTGCACGTGGGCATGGTGGCATGAAGTGGAAGCAGGGACACCCGGCAGGAGGCTGCTGCAGTGGTCTGGGTGAGGGACCCTGGCCGAGAAAGCCTGGGTGAGCAGTGCACTTGGTGAGGGAGGAGAGGGAATAGGAGGTGAGGACTTGAGGTGACAGGGTATCATGGAAACAACGTGGATAGCTGGGCCCTGCCTCAGCTTTTGGCAACCCAACCAAAACACCAGTATTTATACAACACGGATTGCTGTAACATGGATTTCAAGACCAAGGAAGCTTTCTTCTGCTCCCTGCTGTCTTCTCCCTTCGCAGGAGACCACTGGGATGCTGCAGACCCAGCTCCAGGAGGCTCAGCGGGCACTGCAGCAGGCAGCCCAGCAGCACAAAGACAGCCTCGCTGCCCTCCAGGAAGAGGCCGGCACCCTGCTGCGGGATAAGATAGACCTGCAGAAGCAGGTCCCTGCTCCTCTCTCCCAGCCCAGCACCCTTCCCCAGCACAGCCAGGCTCTCCCACTCCCTCTGGCAGGACGGGGGAACCTTGGCTGCCTGAGCCTGTGAGGGGGAGGGGAAGCCCCAGTACTGAGTGGAAAAGTGAAGGGTGCTCAGAGCTGTGCATGTGCCTCCCAGATCCCTGGGGTAGTTAGTAACCTCTCTCAGTGGGGACCACAGACCTCATATTTTCTTGGCAGCCCCATAGATCCAGCCTCCCCATAGATCCAGTATTTTTATACCAGATTGCTTTTCCTTCTCAAAATCCTATATCAGATGATGGTCGGGTTGTTTATTTTTAAAAAAATACAATCACTTGCTCATCACTTGGCCTTTGGACAGAGTTACATTCAACCAAGGTTTTTATTTGTGCCTGCCTCTATACAGCATATGTGAGGCTGGGGAGACAGGGGACTAGGCTGGATGGTACTGGCAGAGGGAGGTGGATAAGAACAGCATGTGAGGGTTGGCAGGACCTCCAGAGCTTTGAAAATGGGCTGGTGACTCTGGTAAACCTTGAAGGACCCTAAAGCCCTAGGTGAGAAGCATCCTCCCACCAACCTTCCTGCCCTTGGTCCTCATGCCCTTGACTTTCCAGGTGGAGGACTTGAAGTCTCAGCTGGTTTCCAAGGAAGACTCCCAGAGGTTGGTGGACCAGGAGGTTCAGGAGAAGCTGAGAGAGGCCCAGGAGTGTTGCCGAATTCAGAAGGAGCTGGAGAGAGAGAAAGCCAGGTAGGCTAGACAGGCCGTGGAGCTGGCTTTTGCCTGTCTGGGTCCAGGGGTCACTGTGAGGTTGACAGTTTGCTCAGGGCACCTAACCTCTCACGTCTCCAGCTCTGGGCTGTACAGGTAGCTGTGTGGAGAGGGCATGGTCCTTGTCTCCAAAGCTCATGCTTCATTCATTTAGCAGATATTCAGAGAACACATAGCACGCACCAGACACTATGCCAGGGGTTGGGGATATATTAAGACAGTAGAGTCTCTGCCTCAGTAGAATTTCTCGTTTTGTGGGGAAGACGTTAATCAAATAACCCCCAAAGGAAAGTATTGCAGATTATGTTACCTGGAGTCTGAGGAGGGAGAAATCCTTTTGTTGATGAAACTAGAGGCAGGAAGACAAGGTAGGAGACTGGTACAATTGTCCAGATAAGAGAACCAAAGCTGAACCGAGGTAGGGTCGTAGGGAAGGGGAGGAGGGAAGGGGTTTAAGGGGTGTTAGGGGAGTTGGAATCAGTTATTTGTAGTCTTAAAGTGGACTCAGGTGGGATGAGGGGAGGCTGCTGTGATGTGGTCATCAAGACTTCTGAGGGTGAATGGAGGTGCCATTCAGTGAGCTGGGGAACATAGTAGGGGTGACTGGTGGGAGGGGAGGTGCAGAGGGGATGGGAAGAATTGGACATGTTGAATTTGAGGTATTGTATAGATATTTCTGGAATTTTCTAGAGAAGAATAAACTGTGAAGTTGAAATGAAATATATGCATGAAGGACCTAGGAGCACTCAGTAGGTGCTCAGTATATGGAGGCTTTTATTGTTATACTGGAATCATTATCATCACTGTTTCTATTAATTATTAATGCTGTGTTAGAGCAGTCAGATGAGAAGGTAGTTCTTCATTCCCTGAGAGAATGACCCAGCCCTCTGAACCCTCTCTTTTTAGCCTGACTCTGTCGCTGGCGGAAAAGGAACAGAGACTCCTTGTTTTACAAGAGGCTGACTCTGTTCGACAGCAAGAGCTGAGCTCCTTGCGCCAGGACATGCAGGAGGCCCAGGCAGGGCAGAAAGAGCTCAGCGCCCAGGTATTTCCCACCCCACTAAGAGCCCTCTTCCTTGGTGGAAACCTCCTTCTGGAGTCGGCAGGTGATTGCTCAGCCACGCTGAGACCTCAGCAGCCCTGGCAGGAGGGGGAAGCCAGGACCGGGCTGGGTGGGGCTTGGGAACCTGACCCAGGTTTGAGAACGGACCCTGTGGGGAACCTGATGGCCCAGAACACAGTGCCCAGAGGGGCAGAGCTCACACAGGCCTGGTTCAAGCCCAGCCGCTGCCAAGTGTGCCTGGTCTGCCTGGCAAGACACAGCAGGGGTAACCAGTATTACTCCAGACGGGGTCAGCGGCAGCCTCTTGCTTCCAGGGACTCAGTCTGCTCACAGCAGGACCCCAGACCTTGTGCACAGAGGAAGGATGGAACTGGGAGGAGAATAATGAGCAAGTGAGAGCTAGAAGTAGACTGCGGCAGATGAGGACCCAGGTCTGCCTGTTAGACTCCCAGCTCTACTGCTTCCTGGTTGTGCGAACATCACTTTATTCAACCATAAAACAAGGATGATAATTCTTAATCATTATAGGAATATATAAAGTGTCAGGAACACAGTAAGCATTCAATAAATGGTAGCCATTATTATCGTGACTGGTCTTTTTAGGCTCAGTGTCAGTGTTTCAGGCAGATTTCTAATCATAGCAGGGAGCTGGCATAGTTGCCAGGGGGACCAGGGCCAAAGCCCATTTGCATAGCCTAGGCCCATGTGTCAGGAGTCCGTAGGTGGGCATGTAGGTTAAACCTAGGGTTACACTCATTCCGGAGCCCTCCCTTCCTGCTGGAGAGCTGAGCCTACTGAAATCCTCCCAGCCCCAGTCAAGGTTTGCACAGGGATTGAGTGGGGTCAGGCCCGGGAGGGTCTGGGGAGAGGGTATCCATTCCCTGCTCAGAGTGACCATACTTCCTCTCTGGCAGGTGGAATTACTGAAGCAGGAGGTGAAGGAAAAGGAGGCTGACTTTCTGGCCCAGGAAGCACAGCTGCTGGAGGAGCTAGAGGCAGCTCGAGTAACAGAACAGCAGCTACAAGCTTCCTTGTGGGCCCAGGAAACCAAGGCAGCCCAACTACAGCTGCGACTGCGCAGCACGGAGAGCCACCTGGAGGCCCTGGCAGCGGGACAGCAGCCTGGGCACCAGGCCCAGGTCCAGCTGGCCAGCCTCTGTTCTGTCTTGCAGCAGGCCCTGGGGTCTCCTTATGAGAGGGGGCTTGAGCTGAGTGGTGGGGGAGACTCGGCTTCCTCCCTCTGGGGCCCTGAGCCAGGTGAGGCAGCCACCCAGGAACTCAGTTCTTTGGTCAAAGCCAGGCCTAGCTCCCAGGGGAGAAGGGAAGGGAATGCAGTTCCTTAGGCAATACTCATCAAGGCCAAGGACACAGACTCTGGGATTAATTCAATCAGAGTTTGAACCCCAGCTCGGCCATTTGCTAGATGTGTGTCCTTGGGCAAGTCACCTCTTCTCTTTGAATTTGATTTTCTCAACTATAAAATGAGGGTGTTAAAAGTACTTACCGGGACTTCCCTGGTGGCGCAGTGGTTGAGAATCCGCCTGCCAATGCAGGGGACACGGGTTCGATCCCTGGTCCAGGAAGATCCCACATGCCATGGAGCAACTAAGCCCGTGCACCACACTTACTGAGCCCATGTGCCACAACTACTGAAGCCCATGAGCCTAGAGCCCGTGCTACGCAACAAGAGAAGCCACCGCGATGAGAAGCCCGCACACTGCAACGAAGAGCAGCCCCATCCATCCGCAACTAGAGAAAGCCCGAGCACAGCAACGAAGACCCAACGCAGCCAAAAATAAATAATTTTTTTTTAGAAGAAGTACTTACCTCTTGGGATTTTTTTAAGGAGTTAATGAGATGACAAATAAAATCGTTCACACAGTTCCTGGCACTTATTAAATGCCTAACAAATGATAGCATTTTCTAATGCACATCACAGTGCCTGGCACGTAGGTATGCAGACAGGGCATGATGAACAAACTGCTGAGAAGGGGTTCTTTGAGGAGAAGAGGGATGGGTGGGAAGGCCAAGGCCAGGTCTGGGAGGTATGGCTGTTTCTTTTCATAGTGCAGCCAGGTCAGGAGGTGTTTCCTCATTTTTTCAGACCAGAATGGAGCTAGGATCCTCTTTAAGAGATGGCCCCTGCAGACTGCTCTCTCAGCTGAGGCGGTAGCGTCTGCCCTCCAGAAGCTTCACCAAGACCTGTGGAAGACACAGCGGGCCCGGGTATGTGTCTCTGTTCTCCTTCCTCAGGCTCTTCACCTACGCCGAAAAAGACTTGTGAAGCACTTTGACCTGTTTTATTTCTGACGTAAAGTTGGGATGAGTTCCACCTCTATCACTTACTACCCGGCAACTGTGAATAAAGCATTTGGCGTCCTGGGCCTTGGTTTCACTAGTAAAGTAGGGCAAATCGTGCCTGCCTCACAGGGCTGTGAGGAATAAATGAGTGAGGGACTCGAGTGAGCCCTGTAAAACGTGATACTCTGTATAGACCTGTGATACCATTTTGCATCATTTTCCTCTCAGCCATGAATTGTTCTTGGTGTCAAGACCTCCAAGAAAAACCTGACAAATTGGGGATCACTGAGATTTGAGGTTGCCATTTACAGGAACATTCTAGGCCTAAGACTGAACTAAATGTCCCCCAAATTCCACCTCACAGTGAACCCATCAGTCAGTAAAAATTGAGTGTCACCTATATATATGCCAGCCGCTCTGAGCTAGGGATACAAAAAGGAGAAAGACCTGCTCTCTGCCCTCAAGAAGACTTGTGACAGGGCTGAGCAACCAGACTGCATCCTAAGATAAAGCAGAACTGATAGAAATAATTGGATCAATAACAGATGTACATGATAATAATAGGAGGAAGGGACAATTGGGAGGGTCAGAAGGAGGGAAGCAGTGACCTTTGAGCTAAGCTTTGAAGTAGGAGTTTGGGGAGAGGAGGGGTGATCCCGGGCTAAGACTTCAGCAGGAGTTCTGTTTCAAAGACAGACGAGTCAGAAGGGGAACCCTAGGCTCCAGCCATTTGGAGCAGAGCCTGTCATCCCTTCCAGGAGCCAAATGCACATGAGTTCAGAGGTAAATAACCCAGCAATCTGAGAGTAGGTCCGTGATGGCAGACCCTGACAGGCTGAGGGAAGAGAGGGATTGGGCCCTGAACTGGGGCGGCTTTTTGGAAGATGAGGAACTTGAGTTCCACACCCTTTCTTTCCCAGGATGATCTGAGGGATCAGGCCCGGAAGCTGGAACAGCGTCTCACTGATACAGAGGCTGAGAAGAACCAGATCCACACAGAGTTGCAGGCTCTGCAGAGACAGCTCTCCCAGAACCAGGAAGGTAAGAAGCTTAAGGCAGGGGTGGGTTTGGGGCAGAAGAAAGGAAAGGCAGGAAGCCCAGTGGGGCGGGATCAGGCCTGGGAGCCACTCCTTACTGCTTACCCACAACTGTGAGATTTACCTAGAGGCGTCTCCAAAGGGGCGATGACCCCCGTGAACTATTTTTTGTACTTTGCTTGGCCTTTGAGAGCCGTCCTGGAAGAAGGGATTAGGAGGAACAGATTTGGTGAACTGAGGGAAGTTGCTAGCTAGGCTTCTGTTTTTTCTGTGAAGATTTAAAAACTGGCACCCTAAGGTCAGGTCTATAAGAACACTGTAAAATTCTATGTCTTTCATCATTTATCAGTGTTACTTATTTTGTTATCTCCAACTATGTTCTCAAATGATTAACCTTTGACAGCAGAAGGATTATGGGCTTGTTTGGGAGATAGGAAGAGGGGGAAATCTGGGGAGAAGCTACCTGTGCCACAGCCAAGGGCTAGGAAGGGTGGTGACTACTAGGAAAGGAAAGGAGAGGGGAGGGTCTTGCGACTCAAGGCTCAACTGTAGAAGGGAAGAAGACAACGTGGGGAGTGGGTCTGGGTCTTAAAAGTATCCCAAACGGCTCCCTGAGAGCCACACACATACAGTTGGGTTCTGGTGCGTTTTACAGAAATGGAGGGTACCCAGTAGAGCAACCCTGGTCTCTAAGAACCTCTGCAAAATCATAGACTTAGGGACTGGAAAGGACCTCCAACATCATCTAGCTCAACCCTGTCTGGAATCCAAGGTTGAGAATCTGTGATCGGGATGGGAAGTGTTGGGATGATTGTCAGGCACTGCTGGAGCTGGGCAGCAGATGCAGACACAAGTCTGGAAGCAGCAGGGAGCCTAGACAGACAGGAGCAGCTGGCAGACGGGTGATGCCTCTATGAAACTGGGTGTAATTCTCTCCTTCTTGGCCTTTTCCTCCTTTGATTCTATTCCCCATCTTCCATCTGCCTCTATGTCCCTCCTTTCCTCCAATCATGGTTCTTCCTCCACTACCTGTCTTCACAAAGAGAAATCCAAGTGGGAAGGAAAACAGAACTCCCTAGAATCTGAGCTGAAGGAGCTGCGTGAAACTGTGACATCCTTCCAGAGTCGCCTACGGCAAGCAGAGCTCCAGGGAATAGAAGCCCAGGTAAGGTGTTTCTGGTTTGGGGGAGGGGTTGCTTCAGGAGTAGTCCCTCAGGGCCCAGGATCGAGCCCATCCTGGCCCATGGTCGTACCCCATCCATATGTAGTGCCCAGCTTCCTTCAGCAGTGTCTCTGTTTCTCTCGCTCTCCCCACATCCCTGAGGGCCATTATTAAGGCCCTAGTGAATCCTCCTTTAATTACTTTTTCTGAATTGAGGTTGAGATTTTTGTCCCTTTTCCTGAAGGACTAGAGTCTGGGATGACTCATTTGCAACAGTTTTTCCCCTCTGAGCACAGCAGAGCCCAGGGTAGGGTAGGGATATTCTTTTACAGTATCAGCCTAAGTGGAACACGCAGTTCCTTTTGCCCAAATCCTTGACAATGCTGGTGCCGCAGAGGAAGGAAAGGAAGGGCCTGCGTTGGAGTGACAGTTTCAGGGAAGTATAGTTTAAGGTGGTTTTGCATCTTGTTTTGCAGAATGAGCGAGAGTTACTGCAGGCAGCCAAGGAGAACCTGACTGCCCAGGTGGAACATCTCCAAGCATCTGTGGCAGAAGCCAGGGCTCAGGCAGGCGCTGCCGGGGTCCTGGAGGAAGACCTGAGAACTGTGCGCTCAGCACTGAAACTGAAAATCGAGGAGGTGGAGAGTGAGCGCAAGCGAGCCCAGGCCCTGCAGGAGCAGGGCAAGCTGAAGGTGGCCCAGGGGAAGGCTTTGCAGGAGAATCTGGCTCGCCTGGCCCAGACCCTGTCTGAAAGAGAAGAGGAGGTGGAGACTCTGCAGGGAAAAATCCAGGCGCTGGAGAAGCAATGGGAAATGCAAAAGGCTGCTTTGGAAGTGCTGTCCCTGGACCTGAAGAAGAGGACCCAAGAGGTGGATCTGCAGCGAGAACGGATCCGGGAGCTGGAGGAGTGTAGGTCTGTTCTAGAGCATCTCCCCGTGGCCGTCCAGGAGCAAGAGCAGAAGCTGACTCTGCAGAGGGAGCAGATCAAGGAGCTTGAGAAGGACCAGGAGGCGCAGAGGAACATCTTGGAGCATCAGCTTCTGGAACTTGAGAAGAAGGCCCAAGTGATTGAGTCCCAGGAAGGACAGATTGAGGACCTGAAGAAGCAGCTGGTTACCATGGAACGCCTGGCCCTGGACCTAGAGGAAAACCATCACAAAGTGGAATGCCAGCAAAAGGCGATCAAGGAGCTGGAGGGCCAGAGGGAAATGCAGAGGGTGGCTCTGACCCACCTTACACTGGACCTGGAGGAGAGGAGCCAGGAGCTGCAGATGCAGGGCAGCCAGATCCAGGAGCTGGAGAGCCAGAGCACCCTCCTGGCAAGAGAACTCCAGGAGAAGGACCAGGAGGTGACGTCCCAGCAAGACCAGATCAAGGAGCTGCAGAGGCAGAAAGAGCATCTGACTCAGGACCTGGAGAGGAGGGAGCAGGACATGGTGCTGCTGAAGGAAAGGATTCAGGTCCTGGAAGATCAGAGGACCCTGCAGACCAAGATCCTGGAGGAGGACCTGGAGCAGATCAAGCTGTCCTTGAGAGAACGGGGCCGGGAGCTGGCCTCTCAGAGGTGGCTGATGCAGGAGCGGGCAGAGGAAGGGAAGGGCCAGAGTAAAGCTCAGCGAGGGAGCCTGGAGCACATGAAGCTGATCCTGCGCGATAAGGAGAAGGAGTTGGAATGCCAGCAGGAGCGTATCCAGGAGCTTCAGGAGCACAAGGACCAGCTGGAGCAGCAGCTCCAGGGCCTACACAGGAAGGTGGGGGAGACCAGCCTACTCCTGACCCAGCGGGAGCAGGAGATAGTGGTCCTGCAGCAGCACCTGCAGGAAGCCAGGGAGCAGGGGGAGCTGAAAGAGCAGGCACTTCCGGGTCGGCTGGATGAGGCCCAGAGGGCCCTGGCCCAGGGTGCCCGGGAGCTCGAGGCCCTGCAGCACCAGCAGCAGCAGCAGGCCCAGGGCCAGGAGGAGAGCGTGAAGGAACAGGCGGGCTCACTGCAGCAAGCTCTGGAGCAGGCCCACGCCACACTGCAGGAGTGCCAGGCTGAGCTGGAGGACCACAAGGAACACGCGCAGAGGCTCCAGGAAGAGCTGGCAGTGGAGAGACAGCGGGTCCAGGCCCTGGAGGAGGTGCTGGGTGACCTAAGGGCTGAGTCTCGGGAGCAGGAGAAGGCTCTGCTGGCCCTCCAGCAACAGTGCGCCGCGCAGGCCCAGGAGCATGAGGCGGAGGCCAGGACCCTGCGGGACAGCTGGCTGCAGGCCGAGGTGATGCTCCAGGAACGGGACCGGGAGCTGGAGGCCCTCCGGGCAGATGGCCAGTCCTCCCAGTGTCGGGAGGAGGCTGCCAGGGTCCAGGCTGAGGCTCTGCAGAAGGCCCTCAGCAAGGCTCAGGCCACCCTGCAGGAGAAAGAGCAGCATCTCCTTGGGCAGGCGGAGCTGAGCCACAGCCTGGAGGCCAGCACGGCCACCTTGCAGGCTGCCCTGGACTCCTGCCAGGCACAATCCCGGCAGCTGGAGGAGGCCCTGAGGAAGCGGGAAGGTGAGATCGAGGACCAGGACCTCCGACACCAGGAGGCCGTGCGGCAGCTCCAGGAGGCACTTGCCCAGAGGGATGAAGAGCTGAGACACCAGAGGAGGCAGGGACAGCTCCTGGAGAAGCCTCTGGCCCAGCGGGGCCTAGAGGATGTGACCCAAGAGAAGCAGGAGCCAAGGCACGAGAGAGAAGAGGAAGAGACGAGGGGCCTTCGTGAGAGCCTAAGGCAGCTACGGTGGACTCTAGCCCAAAAGGAAGAGGAGATCCTGGAGCTGAGGGAGGCTCGGCCAAGGAAGGGTCTGGAGGACTCGCCCCGCAGCCACAGAGCCTCCCCAGGGGAGAAGCCGTCTTCCACACTTGATTCCTCAGCGCCCACGCTGCAGCGGGAGCTGGAGCGACTACAGGTGGCCCTGAGGCAGACGGAGGCCAGGGAGATCGAGTGGAGGGAGAAGGCCCAGGACCTGGCACTGTCCCTGGCCCAGAGCAAGGCCAGCGTCAGCAGTCTGCAGGAGGTAGCCCTGTTCCTGCAAGCCTCTGTCCGGGAGCGGGACTCGGAACAGCAGAGGCTGCAGGTGAGTCACCCCGTGGGTGGGAAGGGCTGGGGCAGAGCCCGGTCTGCCTGGGCTCTGGGGCTGCCTGCACCTCAGGGTGTGAGAAAGCTGAGGTCACGAGCACCTCAACAGAGTGGAATCCAGGTTACTGTGCTAGTGCGGTGGGGGAAGATGTGGCATCCACAGTCCCTGCCCTCCTAGAGCTGATGGTCTAGTGGAGAAGCAGTTATAATGCAGTGCCTAATTAGGGTTGGTGCCTGACACGTGAAGTTTCGTGTGCTCTGAGCATACCGGAGGGACCACCCCACCTTTCCTGGTAGAAGTGGTGTTTAAGATTAGATCTGAAGGGACCAGTAAGGAAAGAGCCAAGCACAGGTTGGGGGAGGGAGAGGAAGAAGGAGGAAAGAGAGCGTGGAGTATCTGTGAGGGAGTTCAGGCTGCCAGGGACAGAGAAGAGGCTCTGGCAAGAGAAGAGAGGACAGCAGGGGGCCGTCATTTAGGGCTTGTCAGCATGTTAAGGACCTGGGTGACCAGTGCGAAGTGGATGAAGGGTTTGGGGCAGGGGAGTGACACGATCAGGTATATAGTTCAGAAAGATGGCTCAGGCTGCCGGGGGAGCAACTGTAGACCTGGGGAGACTGACCAGGAGAGAAGTAGGAATGGTTATTATCTTCATTTTATAGTTGAGGAACGGCAGTTAAGAGAGGTTAAGTAACCTGTCCAAGGTCATCCAGCTAGTAAAGGGCAGAACTAGGGTTAGACCTAAGCAGGCTGGCCTCGTACTACTAAGCTCCTTCTCTCTCCCAGACAGCCTCCACCCACACGTGTACCTTCCGTTCCTCTTCTCTGTCTGTCCTCTTGACCTTTACCATTTATGAACCCTAGGGTTCCTAGAAAATATCTAGCACTAGTCTTCCCATTTATCTAAAGGGGTTTAATCCCAGAGGCTTAATCTAAGCTTCACGTGGTCTTTGTGTGTGTGTGTGTGTGGCCGTGCCTCCCGGCATGTGGGATCTTAGTTCCCTGACCAGGGATGAAACCCACGCCCCCTGCATTGGGAGTGCGGAGTCTTAACCACTGGACCACCAGGGAAGTCCTCACTGTGGTCATTTTACAAACGAGGTAATTGGGGTTTGGAAAGAGCCCATACCTTTACCCAAGTCATATAGCCAATACGTGGTGACACAATACCCGGCTCTGTGTGATTCCTGAGTCCATGCTCTTTCCACAACACCTAGTGCTCCCAATTGTCGCTTAGCTTAGGGGAGATCTAAAACGCGAGTTCCCTGGTGGCCTAGTGGTTAGGGTCTCACTGCCGTGGCCCTGGTTCAATCCCTGGTCGGGGAACTAAGATCCCACAAGCCACGCGGTACGGCCAAAAAAATAAAAATAAAAATAAAAAAAATAAATAAAATGAGACAGGTTTTAGTCCTAGTCCACCATGTATCCTTGGGAAGATCCCTCTCTGCTCCTTAGTTTTATCCACCTGTAAAATGAAAGTTATCCACTAGAATAGCTCAGAGATGCCAGGAAAAGTAAGACTATAACCTGATGAGAAAATTGTTGAGGACGGAGGGTGGAGTGGGTCTTGATATGAGGCCATAATGGTGTGACTCACCCCAGGATGAGTTGGAGCTCAGCAGACAAGCTCTGGAGAAGGAGCGACTCCACAACCCAGGCCTGACCAGCCGAGCAGAACGGGGGCCCAGAGGAGACCCCGGCGCCCAGCTGGGAGAGGTGAGCTGGGGGCCTGGTGGGAACAGATGGCCCAGGAGGGAGTGCCTGTCCAGGGGCTTGTCCCCTTCCCCTGGGAATTGGGTCCCTGAAGCCCAGACCTGCCAGGCTAGTCCTTTGCCCTCTATCTGTTCCTCACCTGTCTGAGGGGCTGCCCGGCTGAGACTGACAGGTCTCTCCTTCAGGTCTCGGGGGCGAAGACTGAGCCGAGTCCTGAGGTGGAGGAGAAGCAGCTCTGGGAGCAGAGGCTTGAACACCTGCAGCGAGCGGTGGCGCGGCTGGAGGTTGACCGAAGCCGACTGCAGCACTACAATGCCCAGCTGCGGACCACCCTGGAGCAGGTGGGTGACTCCTGTCCTCAGCTCCCTCCCGGGTCTGCTGGGCATGCATCTCCACTTCTCATGCAGCCCCCAGAGCAGGGGTTAGTAAACTATAGCCCAGGGGCCAAATTCGGCCCACTGTCCGTTTCTGAAAATAAAGCTGTTTGGAGACATTGCAGTAGTTGTGACACAGATCGAATGGCCCACAGTGCCTAAAATACTGCAGAAAAGGTTTGCTGGCCCTACTTCAAAGGCTGAGGAGGCCGGCCCCACCTCCTCTGCTGCAGCAGCACTTTGCACTCAGGGCTACCCCAGCAAGCGCTCTCCTCAGCCCAGTTCAGCTTCCCATGGCTGCTGGCCCCTTATACTTGCCCCACCCTCACACCGGCCTCCTCTCAAAAAAGGCGGCTCCGCTCCAGACCCAGAGCCAAGCCAAGCCCTGACTTCTCACTCGCATCTCGGCAGGTGGAGCGAGAGCGGAGGAAACTGAAGAGGGATTCCCTGCGAGCATCGCGGGCGGGCGTCCTGGAGAGCGGTGAAGCCACGGCACCGTCACCCACCCAGCAGGTTTGTCTATTTCATCGACTGCAGCCTCAGGAGAGCCCAAGCCCAGCCACTAGAAACAGCCCTCTGCAGTGCGTATCCCAGGCTCCCCTTGCAAGGGGAGGAGCCACTCCAGCCAGTCCGTAGGGCCCCTCCTGACCGGGCTCTGCCCCACCCAGCACTGTCCCTGACCCGGGAAGGAGGCCCAACATCAGTGGGCGGGGCTGGAGTCAGCCCTGCTTTCTGAGGAACCCGACCTTCACTGATACGCAGTCCACCTGCCCCCCAGACCAGTGCTTCAGGCTCCCAGGAGCAGGCCTCGTGGGGCTTCTGGTCTCTCCCTGCATGTAGGTGTTGGGTGGTGCTTGCCGGACCTGGATGTTCCTAGGAGCTTGATAGCAGCTTCTTGGACCTCTTAGACTTCCTTGCCCTTTGCAATACTGAATTTACAAGATATGGGTCCAGGGTATTTCCTGGGGCCAGAAGGATCTGGGGGAAGACACCACAAACCAGCACTCTTTTAGTTGAGTTATGCCTGTCAGTAGACAGCCTTGGGGCCTGGCAGGTAGGGACTGTTTCTGGTGTCTGAGCACCTCCTAACCCTCCATCCCCCTTCCTTCAAGGAAAGCTTCCCAAGGGACAGGCCCCTTGTCTTACTTCCCCTCTGCATCCTTAGCTCATGGACCAGGGCTAGCACGAAGCAGGTGTGTGCTGAACTTTAAATGAAGAGGTACCTCAAAGAAGCCAGTCCCATACAAGCCTTTGGGACATTTGGCCTCAGGTCTCCATTGCGTTGGTTTGGGCCCTCTGGGGCTTCTCCTTGCCCCAGGGCCATGGTGCCCCAGAGAGTTCAATCTGAGTTCAGGCACTTTTGGCCCATAGCCCTTGCCCTGGTCCCCAGGATTGTGAGGAGGCCTGCACAAACTCCAGTGGAAGGCCTGTTCCAACAGGAATGGCATTTGTCTTCCACAGGATGGAAGAGGAGGACAGAAGGGCTCCTCAGATGCCAGGCACGTGGCTGAACTGCAGAAAGAGGTACGTTCTGGAAGGATCCGTTTTCTAAGCCCCTTTTCCCTCCCTTGCACTCAGGCAGCAAGGCTTTGGTGTCTGCTATGTGCTTGGCCCTTTGTGCACCTCCAGCAGGGAGAGGGGAAATAGTTCCTGCCTAGAGAACTTCAGTCCTCGTGGGAGGCAAGCACAGGCTCCGGACGCACAGGCTCAGCGGCCATGGCTCACGGGCCCAGCCGCTCCGCGGCATGTGGGATCTTCCCGGAACGGGGCACGACCTCGTGTCCCCTGCATCGGCAGGTGGACTTTCAACCACTGCGCCACCAGGGAAACCCTAAGCTATTACTTTGAATTCTCTTAAACTCACACAAAGCAATCGCTGAGACAGGGCCCGGACTAGGGGGAGGCAAGACAGGCCTCACTGTTGACCTGGAGATCCTCCTTAAATTTTGCACCCTAGGAGCATCTGTTGCCCCACCCTAGTCCTGGATGTGCCCTGACCTCCCAAAAACTTCACCTCCCGGGGCCCTCAGCGCACTCATCTTGAGAAATGGGTCAATCAGTGATTCTCAACCCCGGCTGCACGCTAGAACCACCTGGGGAGCTTTGGAAAAAAACTGATGCTCAGGCCTCACACCTGCCTAATTAAGTCAGAAAATTTCTTAAAACCTTCCAAAAGGGGCACGATGGAGCTCTCTGCAGGGATTAGAGCATTCTGTATCTTGATTGAGATAGTGGTTATATATGGGTATGTATGTTATGAAATTGGTCAAAATGTACTTAAAATCTGGGCATTTTATTACATGTAAACATGTGAATAGTCTGGTTGGTTTTTTTAAGCTCTCTCTCTGAGTCTCCTGTGCAGCCAGGGTTGACAATCACTGGATTCTCTGATTGCCAGCAGCCCTTCCCCCAAATGCTGTAAAGCCTCATCCTGAGATTCGTGGGTGAGGTGTTCATTCAAACGCTGGTCTGACAGGAGCCACAGGAGCCGAGCAGGAAGGGTTGGGGCAGCTTCGAGGCCCTCCACTGCTCTCACCCTCTTGGTTTTCCTGCCCCTCAGGTGGCCCTGCTGCGAGCCCAGCTGGCCCTGGAGCGGAAGCAGAAGCAGGACTACATCGCCCGCTCAGTACAGACGAGCCGTGAGCTGGCGGGCCTGCACCACAGCCTCTCTCACTCCCTCCTCGCCGTGGCCCAGGCCCCAGAGGCCACTGTCCTGGAGGCCGAGACCCGAAAGCTGGATGAGTCTCTGACTCAAAGCCTGACATCCCCTGGGCCGGTCCTGCTGTGCCCCAGCCCCAGCGCTGCTCAAGGCGCCTCCAGGTAGCAGCTGCAGCAAGGGCAGGACACGGGCCAGCCTGGGAGCACACAGACAGACAGAAGGCCGTAGAGCGGGTCGTGGCCCCTCCACACAGCTGCTGTTTGCCAAAGAAAATTCTGACTCTGTTACCTAGCCTGGGAGCCCCAGGTCAGCTGGCATTCCCCGGAAGAGGGAGGGAAAGCTGCAAGGCTGGGGGAAGGCCCTGACTCACATGGGAATGAGGCACATCACACTTGCTGCCGGCCTGCAGTCACCCAGAGAGCGCCTTTCCCTGGCCAAGGGGCGTCTGCTGCCTCTCGCCTAGAACTCATCATCCAGCACTTCACCCTCTCGGACACCACCCCCTCCAGCAATAAACCCTGGGTCTTTGCATTTGTTCTCTGCTGCTGTCTCTACTGTGTAGCTGGGCAACAGCCGTACATCAAGGGCATCTATTAAGGAAGAATTCACTGAAGATTCCTGTCAGGTGGCATGCATTTGTCATCTACCTGCATTCTGATAGAGAGGGGCTACAGAAGATACACAAGACAAAGCCCCTGCCCACAGGAAGCTTGAGCCCAATTGACAATAACAGGCAGATGAGTCAGAGACAGTTGTGTGTGCTGCCTAGAAGTGCTGTAGAAATTCCAGGGGCTGAGGCAGGAAGGTATGAACTGGCCCTTGGTGGCTGGAGATGAGTTGGGAGGGTTGCTAAGCATACTGGTGAGAAGACTGGTTGGCCTTAGCAGGGTGTGTTTGCGCTGAGGGATGAGTCACGAGGGAGAGGAGGGAGGGCCTTGGGATCTAGATTTGAACTCATGGATAGTGATGAACCATCATACGTTCTTGACTTAAAACATGTTCTGGGGACTTCAAAAACACTGAGCTGGCTTTTGGCTAAAGTCAGCCTCTTGAGTTCAGAAGTTCTATCTGGCTTCATTCCCCTTCCGCGCTGGGTGAAAGGCCTCGGGGTGTCCCTTTCTGGGCATATCAGCTGCAACCGACTGTGGCCCCCTGTAGTCCAGCCATAGGTCAAGCCAGGAAAGAGGATGGAGTGTGGCAGGACTTGTCACTTACGGCCTGGCCCTGGTTTAGGCAGTGTACAGGCTTAAGACCTATTGTTGGCAACTTCCTCAAAGCCTAAGAGAGAACAGTTTTCTTTAAAGAAGCAGGCATGGGACTTCCCTGGAGGTCCAGTAGGTAAGACTCTGCAGTCCCAATGCTGGGGGCCCAGGTTCGATCCCTGGTCAGGGAACTAGATCCCACATGCATGCCACAACTAAGAAGTCTGCTGCAACTATGAGCCCACATGCTGCAACTAAAAAAAAAAAAATCCCGCATGCCGCAACTAAGACCCGGGGCAGCCTAAATTAATTAATTAATTTAAATATATATAAATATATATATATAGGGCTTCCCTGGTGGTGCAGTGCATAAGAATCTGCCTGCCAATGCAGGGGACACAGGTTCCATCCCTGCTCAGGGAAGATCCCACATGCCGCGGAGCAGCTAAGCCCGTGTGCCACAACTACTGAGCCTGTGCCCTAGAGCCCGTGAGCCACAACTACTGAAGCTTGCGTGCCTAGAGCCCGTGCTCCACAACAAGAGAAGCCACCACAATGAGAAGCCCGCACACCACAACTAGACAAAGCCCACGTGCAACAACGAAGACCCAACACAGCCAAAAAATAAATAAAAAATAATGATAATAAAAATTTTTTAAATAAAATAAAGAAGCAGGCATGACCTTCTTCCAGCCCTCCAAACGTAATCTGTGATTCCTCTTACCTAGGCATGGGGATGGAGCTAAGGCCGGCTAAGAATGTGGGAGTTTAGGAGCAGCACCACGGTCCCCCAGACCTACTTACCCGGAGCTCAGGCCCCATTATACCCCGTCACACCACACAGAGTGGGTAGGGGGCTGTTCACAGCTGCTGGAGCTTGGTTCCAAAGCCCATGCACGGGACTCTGCACAGATGCTTAGTAAAAAACAGTTTAAGACCCCCCAGAGCTAAATCTGGGGCCCCCAAGATGCCAGCCGGTCCCTGCCTCTAGTCACATCCCTGTGGCTCAGAATCCTTACCTGGCCTTTTCGATGCTAGGAGTTCTCAGGGACAAATGAGATTTCTCTGGGTTCCTTACCTTTTTTGGTCCCCCAACCCTGGCTCTGTAGCTTAGAGCCTGACAGAGGGACCCTGTTGTTTACCTTGGAGTTTCTTCTCAGTTCTGTTATCTGTAGGTTGTAAGCCAAGGCCTTAAGCCTCACACACCTTCTGGGAGCAGGGAGAGAGACTTCAGCAGATGAAAGGCGTTGTAGAGGCAGCCAAGCAAGGTCTTCATTAAGTAATAAACTATATCTGCTCCTCACTCCCCATCCAACCCTCAGTAGCCCCTCACCCTCACTCTAGACCTCAGGCTAAGGCCTCCCCTCCCCACCAGATATTGGTCAGGGTTAGTCTTCAAGTGTAGACTACATTCTTGCTCTCACATTCTTAGCTTGTGGATGATTTTCTGCTCCAACTTCCTAACATACACTTTCTTTGACCAATAGTAGGATCAGCTGTTTGGAGGGTCCCACCAGTAACAGAGCCAACTGCTCTTCTTATCAGCTCCAAACCCAAAGAGAGAGACCTGAATTGGAGAAGCACGAAGGAAAGAATATGGGTCTTCCAGGCAGGACCCAACCTTGCCCCAAGGCATCAGGCCAGAGTTCCCTTTCCTTCTCTTTGTCACATGCAACAGGGCATAACCAGAGCAGTGAATCCAGTGGATGGGCACTGCCTCTGACCATCCAGCCAGTTCTCACGGATACAGTAGAGGGTGGTGTGATTGATCTCCAGAACCTGGGGGAAAGGAGGTCAGAGCTGAGCACGCAGGTCTTCTCCATCCACAAATCCTCCCCCTCCCTCCAGCCTTCTCCTTTCCTGCTTTGATAGAGGCTGCTACAGGCCCCAAAGTCCTGAGAACAGAAGGGGGCGAGAGCTGAGTCAGAGTCTGGACAACGTTCTTGTTCCCAGGGAGCGCTGGGTCTGGTGGGTATGACACCCTGCTCGCTCAAAGAGCCTCCATGCTTTGCATGTTAGAGCGACAATCACCACATTGCAACCTAATTACCTTTTCTCATCTGCTTCCCGCCCGGGGACTAGCAGGGTGGTCTCTAACTCCATCAGGAGCTGCAGGGCCCATCGGGAGTGCTAGGCAAACCAGGTAGACGCCCTGCTGATGCAGGCAGGCTATGTAGATGCTCTGGGGCCAGCAGCAGAACTTCCAGAAGTACCTGTGGAGGTGGGGAGACCCCACCCACAAAAGCAGCAAGGCATCCTCCAGCCCGAGACTTCACATGCAGGCCTCATCTCAGCCCATGGGACAGGTCCCTTGGGCAGTGAGTTGGTTCAGTTGTTCGATCTTAGGACAGACGATGCCTTTAGCAGTTCCCCCTGCAGTGCTGCACCTCCTACCTCCTGTCCCACGAACCACCTACTCGCACTTGCTCCTGGGGCTGAGGAAGGGACCAGCTGAGCAATATGAAAACGCTGAGTCCTGAAGAGCCGGGGGAGTGGTGAGCAGAGGCAGGGAGGGGCAAGGAGCGGGGACCTCCAGTGTGCCCCGAGCCATGAGATCCCTCTGCGCAGTCCTGGCGTTCAGGCTTCACTCCGCTCACCACACCGAGAAAGGAGGCAAGGGAGAAGGAAGAACGAGAACAAGGGGTCTCAAGGTTCTGGGGCCCTGCAGTTGACTCCCCTGCTCTCCTGAGACCAGGGTTTGCCTAGACCCTGACGGAGGCGAAGGCAAGGAGCGAGGCTTCTCCAGAGAAGAAAGGACTGTGCTCCTGGCCCCGCTGTTGTTCACCTGACTCACATCAGTACCCTGTCACGGAGTGGACATTATGACCTCTTTCTTCTCAGTCCTTTGTCATTAATGCCCCCAGCTCTTTAAATGCCTTCATAGGGCCTGAAGCTTGGCACAGGTGGAAGGGCTTGGAGGCAAGAAGTTGAACAGGTCAGGGGTCAGAGGAGAGACGTGAGCAAAGGCTGTGAGGTGGCCATCTGAGAGCGGGTGCTCGCTGTTCCCAGCTCATGGTCATTTGTGTGGAGGCAGAAAGTGGTAAGAATTAGTATTCAAGTTTAGTCCTTCCTTAATTACCACTACTTGTTGGGTGAGGGAATCAGGGAAGGCTTTTTTTCAGTGCCTGGTAACCCATGCATCGCTCCTGCACCTCCTGTCTTGGTTTCCTGTCATTACCTCTCCTGTATCTGCATATTCCAACCCTACCAAGAGTCTAAGGCTTGTTGCTGGCCAAGAGTAGGCTCACATCCGAGCTGGCTAATTCCCTTGCCTTCTGCTGTTGCGTGATGCTCGGCAAGTCATGCTGGAGCCTTAAGCTATAACTCTTTTCCCTGCATAAGGGGTCATCTCTTCAGCTTGTCCACCCGACCGCAAATAGAGAAACCCTGTGGATGGGGTCAGATGCACTGGTTGCTGCCCCCTGCTCCTAATCCAGCTTTTCATTCATCTGACAAATACTCATCAAATCTATGTGTCACAGAGCTCCATGACACGCACTAAAAGGAGGAGCTCGTCTCCAGGGGAGACAGACCCTGGACGTAAAGAAACACTCACAGCATGACCTGGGTGCTGGGAAGAGACTCACTGGCCACTTGTAATGAGGCCAGGGAAAGTGTCACAGAACATCTTGGAGGAAGAGAGGGCTTGAGGGCCCTTTCAAAGTGTTTGTCGAGCCGATTGGTTACACTGGGTGCATGGCATCAAGGGCTGCACCTGCGGGTCCCGGGAGCAATGGCAGCTCTTGGAGTTGTACCAGCTAGCCCGGTCAGGTGAGACCGCTCTGAGAACAGAAGCATCAGCCACAGGTGAGCATCAAGGCAGCCCACCAGCCTCAAACCCACCATTAAGCTTTCATTCCTGTCCCGTGGGACAACTCACAGGGCAAGTGGCAGGCTGACTCGGACAGCAGGCTCCGGAAAAAATAAGAAGCTGTGGTCACAGCCTCCACCAACATCCCACTGCCCTGGTGGCCTCCATCACTTCCTCAACCCTCCTCACCACATCTCCTTGTAGCACTTCACCCTTCACCTCCCCAGCCACCTGCTAAGCCCTACAGGGTGCTGTGCTGGAGGATGAGGGGAGGGAGGGGAGAAGTGCCTTTTGGTGTGTCCTGTGGCCTCCCTGGAGGAGAAGGGGTTGATGCCCAATGGGGTCCTTCCTGCCAGCCCATTTGTATCAGGGACCCCACCACACAAGTCACATTGTGAGTTCCTGAATGTAGGCTTTGTAGGTAAGATCACCTTCACCTTGGCATTCAGCCCAGGGTCCAGCTGGTGAGAGAGGGCTTAGAAACCAAGTATGATGGGGACAGGAATGAAAAGGGCAAGACTACATGCCAAGGCTAGTGTGGTGCATCTCTGAGAGGGATGCCAGCTATTCCCGATGCAGGCTTGTTAAGCATGAGGCAGACAGGGGAAAGGAAGAGCCTTTTGGCCCCTCTTGAGAAAAGAGGCTACGAGAAAACTTTGTGATGTGCTTAAAAGCAAATTTCTATCCAACCAAACTTGGGGGGCGGGTAGGTATTTTTGTTTTGCTTTGTTTTTAGGCCACATTTAGGCTTGCAGGGATCTTAGTTCCCTGACCAGGGATCGAACCCAGGGCTCTCAGTGAAAGCGCTGAGTCCCAAACCACTAGACCGCCAGGGAATTCCCTAGATTTTCATTTATTTAAAATGAAACAATTGCACGCACATGGTTAAAAAAAATAGAATAGAAGGCAGGGAAGGTGAGTCTCTTCCCAGCACCCAGGTCATGCTGTGAGTGTTTCTTTACGTCCAGGGTCTGTCTCCCCTGGAGACGAGCTCCTCCTTTCGCAAAAAAAAAAAAAAAAAAAAAAAAAAAATAGAAGGCAGCAGTTTCCTACCCCCTTTCTTTTTTTTTTTTTTTTTTGGCCACGCCACGCAGCATGAGGGATCTTAGTTCCCCAACCAGGGATCGAGCCCACGCCCCCTGCAGTGGAAGCACAGAGTCTTAACCACTAGAAAGCCAAAAAAGTCCCACCATCCCATTCTTTTTTAACCCCTTTCCAATTTTTTAAACTCTATTTTCGCAGAGGGTAACTTTGTTCCTCTAAATAGTGTTTATATGATGCCATATGGGCCCAGCATCTGGAACAAGATGGTGATAGGTAGCTGCACTGCCCACACCTTTGGGGATTCTTGGACTCTGGTTCTGAGCCAGACACCTGGCATCTCTGTGCCCTTAGGGAGGCGGGTAAATGTGCTCTCAGCTGTACCAGGGATATTTACATTTTGTTAGGTTATGTGTGTTTGTCGGGCAGCCAAAGTAAAAATGTAGTGGATTCGTTTTGGATACCCAGCAACTGAAAACCCTCATTAACTAAGGCTCTTTGCTTACCTTGAACTACTGTTTCTACCAAGAAGGCAAGATAAATGCTTGCCCCCTGCCCTCGTTTGATGTAATAGTCTTCTCCAACGATTGTTTTTATTTCTCTTTGAGTATCATTATGGACCCAAGGATTTTTATATATTCACTGTGATTCATTCATGACAGTTGCTTTTTTTTTTTTTTTTTGCGGTACACGGGCCTCTCACTGCTGTGGCCTCTCCCGTTGCAGAGCACAGGCTCCGGACGCACAGGCCCAGCGGCCATGGCTCACGGGCCCAGCCGCTCCGCGGCATGTGGGATCTTCCTGGACCGGGGCACGAACCTGTGTCCCCTGCCTCGGCAGGCGGACTCTCAACCACTGCGCCACCAGGGAAGCCCATCAGTTGCTATTTTTGATGCTCAAATTGTCCCAAATTTGATGTCCAGTTTTTCCTTGTACTTTTCTTGTTCAGACATGGAATCTTTTGGTGGGAAAAAATATTTAGAAAATGAAATCTGCATTCCAGAGTTGATCGTTGCCTCTGGGATGTCACGGTTTTTAGACTAGCAGAAAATGTGTTTTGAAAATTGTGAGGTCAAGATGGTGATGGTTGCACAACAATGTGAGTATACTTAATGCCACTGAACTGTACACCTTCAAACGGCAAATTTTATGTATAATTCACCACAATAAAAGTAACATAAAAATTGAGTTCATAATGATATTTGCAGTTTGAATTTAATGTCACAGGGTTTTTATTATACCTGTCTGATTTTGTATTTGGTTCCTAATAATATTAATATAATTACTTATTTATTTTATTCTGTGATATTTATTATATAGTTTATAATATTATAATATTATAATAAATTACAATATTATAATAAATCTACTGAGTGAAGTTTAAAATTTCTTTGTGGTTCTTTTTGTCCACAGAATCTATCCTACAGAGAATACACAGTATATTGAATTCTAAAGGAACTTGAACTACTTCTTTCCCTGGTGGTTATGTTATCAATCTGATATACAGTTAGGTCCATTTGATGTGTTTTCAACTTTAGGGTTTGCTTTTTCCTCTTTTTCATTTAATTTTATTTTTTGGTCAGGTAAATATATATATGAGTAACAATGAAATGTTCGCTGTTGAGAATCTAGAAGAGGATGTAGCCGTTTAATGCCACAATGTAGGGTTTTATTCAGTAGCAGAGTGACCTTCATCCAGGGTGTGTTTGAAGCCCCAGTCCCTCTCTGACACTCCAAGGTCCCCTTGACTACCTGTCAGCCTCCTGGGGCCTCCAGTGGGCTGAATAGGCTGGGGACCATCTCAGTTGTAAATAACAACCTTCCCCTCACACTGCAGCTTAAGAATGACCTGTTGCTCTTCTTTAAAACTGTGCATGTTGCTCTTGAACCAATATTCTTCATCCCAGTAATGGGACCACCTGCTGAGCCGGTCTGTCCGCAAACTAAATAAGGATACCTGGAAGATGTGGTAAGACAGGAGAGGGCTGTGGAGCAGCAGGCTGGATCCTGCCCTGCTTCCATGCCCCCCGACCATTCCTTCAGCAAACACTCACTTAACATCAAGGGTGACAGGCCACCTCCTGGAGCTGGCAGGAGAACAGAGCTCACCTTCCCCAGGGCAGACAGATCTGAACACACAGAGGGACCCCAGAGCCCAGAAAAGACAGCACCAGCTAGCTGATTCTCATCATATTGGAGGAAGAGAGCATTCCTCGAGAAGACAAGGGGAAGGCATTCCAGGCAGAGGGAGCATCGTGTGAAAAGGCATGAGGCAGATGGTGTGTGGGGGAAACGCTGAGAAGCCCATGGTGTGAGCCTGGGAGAGAGGAGGGGTGGGGGGAGGGGTCAGACCATGCAGGGTCTTGAAAACCAGACAGAAAGATTTAGACTTAATGTTAAGTCCCTGGGAAAATGGACATTTTTAGTGGCAGAGGGATGAAATTCTGTGAGTTGCAGACAGTGTCTTACCTGGTCACAGGCGTGCAAGGCGTACAACAGAGCTATGAACCCCAAGGATGGAAAGTGATCGTTTTTTCCCAGCCATCTCTGCTGGACATACTGGAGGAAGCTGAGGCTGATCACTGAGACCTGGGGAAACAGAGGAGGGTGGTGACCTGAGGTCTGTCCAGTGGCTGCCCAAGCCACATCATTTTACTCCTTCCCCTTTTCCCTCCTGGTCCCTCACCTTGTCTTTGCTCTCTTTACTTCCACCAGGGACCTGGACTAAAAAAGGATTGGGGGTGGGGGAGTTTCAGAGTCATTTGACACAGCAGCCCCCAAGCTTAGAGCGGTGCCCTGATATCTAGCAAGGGTCTCTCTGGAGTTCCCACTGTCACCCCTTACAATGCTGCACCCCACCATGCCCAGGATTTTTTGGCTTCCTCGTGATGCCCTCTTTCTGCAGTACCTCCATGACCCACTTCAGACCAGATGAATTCAGAGGAAGCAGCAGCAGCTGGGCGCCAGGATCCTGAGGGCTGTCTATCTCGGGATATGTAATGTGCACAGTGGTCATGTTCCCCACGTCTGTCTCAAAGCCTTGGACAGGGGCCTGGAAAGGAGGACAGGATGGACATCTGAGGGAAGAGGAGGATTTAGCCTGACTTTCCTAGTCTCCACCTTCTACCCTGCACCCACCTAAGGACCATATCATATTGGTCAATCTTGAAGCCAAGGTCAGAGCCCCGTAGGAACTTTTGAGTTTCCAACCACTGCACAGGTCTGGCACCCCACACGGTCCAGTGGGTGTGTGAAAGGCTCTTTAATTGACTGCTGGTTTTGATTCCCAAACTCCTCTGACTTGATATCCTAAAGTTCATAGGACATCAGGAAGGAGAAATTTAGGGGTTTACCCTAGGCTCCCAACCATCTGTAGAAGAAGGTTAGAGCCTGAGGCCTTGAAGGGAGAGATGGCCAGGGCCTGGGGTTGGGCATGGGGACTGGACAGAGACCGAGATTGTGCACTGACCAACCACAATAGCAAAGCATCAGAGGACACGGGTGCTTCTGACCTCATCAGGGGCTCAATGTCCATTTCAAAGCATTCGTCAAACCAAACAGACTCTCCCGGAATGTGGAGGCAGGTAGAGCACCCGTGGACCCCAGATGAACAGATACACTTTCTTAGAGTTCCTGGGGCAGTGGCAGGTCCTTGAGCGGATCCTGGGCTTCTCCTGAGAGTCATTCTGGCTGGACTCCTGGTCCGGAAGGGAGGCCACCAGCCACAATGTAAGCAGACAGACAGCTACCAGACCCAGCTTCAGGTATCAAACCCCCATCTCTGGCCCAGACGATGGTGCCCCAGCAGGCAGTAGATTGGCTCTGACACCAAGAGCTAGGAAGGAGGAAGGGCTGGGGTCATCAGACATTCCCCAGCACCCCCTGTCCTGGTAGCTTCTGTTCCTCCCCCAACCCTTCACACCGCACCCCCTCCCAACACCTTACCTCTTGCCTCCCCAGCCACCTGCTAACCACTAGAAGGAACTCTGCCCAGGCCTGGGCTGGAGGCTGAAAGGATGGAAGAGGTGACAATTGTTGTGTCCTGTGGTCCCCCAGAGAAGACTGGTGACCAGCGAGGTCTTTCATACCAGCCCAGTTACACCAGGGGCCTCATCACAAGAGAACACACTGTGACCGCCTCTGCGCAGGCGTCTTGGCAAGCCTCACCCCCACTTTGGCATCCAGCCCAGAGCCCGGCTGACAAGGGAGGTGTGGATTTAAGCCTCAAAGGGACAGGAGGTGAGGAGGGAGTGGCTGTGTGCCAGGTCTGATGTGGATGAGCAGGAGACCCAGAGGGGAAAGAAGGGGCCACTTGGAACCTCCTGGGTCAGAGAGAATTTACCATTACGACAAAAGTGAATATTTGGTGTAGTCAACCCTTGAAACCTCTCAGGAGTTGAATTTTTCTTTTCTTTTCTTTTCTTTTTTTTTTTGAGATTGTTACCAAGGAAAATACATGAACATTTCTTCCATAAAAAATCAGAGTTCAGGACTTCCCTGGTGGTGCAGTGGTTGGGAGTCCGCCTGCCGATGCAGGGGACACGGGTTCGTGCCCCGGTCTGGGAAGATCCCACATGCCGCGGAGCACCTAGGCCCGTGAGCCATGGCCGCTGAGCCTGCACGTTCAGAGCCTGTGCTCCGCAACGGGAGAGGCCACAACAGTGAGAGGCCCGCGTACCACAAAAAAAAAAAAAAGAAAAGAAAATCAGAGTTCAGGGCTTCCCTGGTGGCGCCGTGGTTGAGGGTCCACCTGCCAATGCAGGGGACACGGGTTCATGCCCTGGTCCAGGAAGATCCCACATGCCGCAGAGCAGCTGGGCCCGTGAGCCATGGCCGTTGAGCCTGCGCGTCCAGAGCCTGTGCTCCACAAAGGGAGAGGCCACAACAGTGAGAGGCCCGCGTACCGCAAAAAAAAAAATAATAATAATAAAAAATAAAATAAAAAGTAGATTTACATGTCCCAGTTATAACAAGTATACTTAGAAGTTTTCTGGGACTTTCCTGGTGGTCCAGTTGTTAAGACTCCGTGATCCCAATGCAGGGGGCCCCAGGTTCAATTCCTTGTCAGGACACTAGATCCCGCATGCCGCAACTAAAGGTCCCGCACATGGCAACAAAGATCCCACATGCCACAACTAAGACCCGGTGCAGCCAAATAAATCAATAAATACATTTTTTAAAGTTTTCCAAAAACTGAATTGTTTCCATCTTAAATTTTAGATTAAATTAAATTAAATTAAAATTTCAATTCCTCACTTGCACTAGATACGTTTCACTTGCTCATCCACCATATTGAATGGCAGGGGACTATAGGCTGATTCTGAAAGTCAAATATCTGTTATCAATGTTTACAATATTGCAACTACGTAAGTATTGTTTCCTATAAAATCTAGTAGTAAACTAGGACTACTTTCCTTTTATTGTTCATTAAAATTTCCTAGGAAATACTATATAGGAAATGAAATTTCTGAATCTTTTTATGTCTGGAAAAGTCATTATTCTGCCTATAGTGGGTAGAATTGTGTCCCCCTCCAAAAAACAGATTCAACTCCTGACCCCTGGTACCTGTGAATGTGACCTTATTTGGAAATAGGGTCTTTGCAGGTTAAAGTGAGCTCATACTGGATTAGGATGGGCCCTAATCTAGTGACTGGTATCCTTATAAAATAAGGGAAATTTAGGAATAGAAGACACAGGAGAGAGTGCCATGTGAAGATGGAGGCAGAGGTTAGACTGATGTGTCTACAAGCCAAAAATGGCAAGAGTTGTTAGCAACCACCAGAACTAGGAGAGAGGCATGGAACATATTCAGCCTCAGAACCTCCAGAGGAAATCAACCTGAATTTTGGACTACTAACCTCCAGAACTGTGAGAGAATAAATTTCCGTTTTAAGCTACCTAGTTTGTGGTAATTTGTTACGGCAGCCCTAGGAAACTAGTACAATGCCCTTGGGCTTGATTGATAGTTTGGCTGGGTATAAAAGATTCTAGGTTTAAAAAAAAAAGATCCAAAGCTAGAAGGCATGTTCCATCATCTTCTAGCTGTCGTTCCTGTTGGCAAGAGTATGATTTTTTGATACTTGTTAACTGTAGAGGTTGGAATTCTTAGTCTCAGAAACAGAAACCAGACTGTGGTAAACTTAAGGAGAAAAACAATTCACTGGTTAAATATCATGCAGTTTACAGAATAGATGTGAAAGCTAGAGAACCAAGCTGAGGCTATAACCAAGGGAGGCAAGATGTAGCCAAAGACTATCCCAGGAATGGCTGTCCTGGAATGTCACCACTGTTGCTACCAAAACAGAAACCTTGACACTGTGGAACACTGTGGTAGCTTAAATATGGCCACAAATTCTTTTCAGCTCCTTCCATTAGGAAAAAGAGACCATTTCCCCACTTATTGAATCTGGGGTCATTTTATGACTTGATCTGACCAATGGAATGCTGCAGAAGTGACACTATGTGACTTCATAACCTCAGCCTTAAGAGGCTTTGCAGCTTTCCCTCTTACTTGTAATGCTTCCACCAACATATGAAGAAGTCTGGGATGAAAGATTACATGGAGAGAGAGGCCTAGTCTCCTAGCAACTCCAGCCATCCCAGATGAGGCCCAGACATGTAAGTGAGATAATCTTAGACCATTGTCTCAACTAAGCAACTAGCTATCAACAGCCACATATGTGAACTCAGGTTAGATCATTAGAAAAACTGCCCTGTTGATCCACAGAATTGCAATAAATACTAATTGTTGTTTTAAGTCACTATGTTTCAAGGGAAGTTTATTATGAAGCAATACCTAATAAATACAGACATCCTGCCCAGTTCACACTAGCCATAGAGAAAACTTTGTGATCATGATGTGAAGTTTCAGAGTTCATGAAATAACCACCTGATTGAACCCTCATAGGTCATATGCTATGTTCTAGCCTCCGTGGGGTAGGAAGGAGAACTACTGGACCCATTTTGGATTCCATAGTGGGAGGCAGAATCCTCACTCTTCGTATCTTGAATCTGTTCCCAACAGAAAGAAGTGTTTTTCTCTCTCTCTCATCACAGTGCATATTGGCTTGGCTATCTCTCTGTCTCTAGGTTTTTTTTTTTCCTCTCATCTTTTTATTGATAGTAAGCATTATGGCAGGAGTCTTTTTCTGCCATATATAGCTAGTTACAAATGGCTAGTATTTTTTCAACTAAATAGAAATGTATTTCTTATTCACATAGGTTAAAAATAGATAGGAATAGGGTAGTGTCTCTATTCTATGAAGTATTCAGGCCTCCAATAAGATAATAATTGAGTCTCTGTCATCTTCAACATAAGGATTCCAAGATTTTCATGGGTATCAACACACAACAGGGTGTAGGGGAAGAGAAAGAGAATTGTATGTGGGAGAATATTTAGACCAGGAATGGAAATAGTACACAAGATATCTGTACACATACAACGAACAGAAATAAATTACATTGCCATACCCAACTGCAAGACAACCTGGAGAATGCGGTTTTATGTTTTCTCAGGAATAAGAGATGGGTTTGCTTAGCATCCAGCCAGTCTATGCGGTATCACTACCTCTACTTCCACAATTGCCTTATCCTTAGTCTACTCCCAATATCAGTTATTGTGCAAAATACAAGATCAAACTGGCTAACTGGTGATTTCTGACTATTTCTCTAAGATATATTGGATTTTAAATTCCAATTAAGTTTGTTTCATCAAATAATAAAGCTTTTGACAAAAGAGGATGTTGTTACATTTTTCTGCAAAATCAACCATTCTAATGGGCTGTTTTTTTAGTCTCTTAATACAGTTTCCTGATTTTCCCTCAAAAACATTAGGCTAGGGCTTCCCTGGTGGCACAGTGCTTAAGAATCTGCCTGCCAATGCAGGTGACACGGGTTCGAGCCCCAGTCCGGGAATATCCCACATGCCACAGAGCAACTAAGCCCATGTGCCACAACTACTGAGCCTGCACTCTAGAGCTCACAAGCCACAACTACTGAGCACATGTGCCACAACTATTGAAGCCCATGCGCCTACAGCTCATGCTCCACAAGAGAAG